ACGCGACAAAAATCAGCACACTCATCTAGGCAAACAGTTGCGCTCAATTTTGGTCCATATCGTAACCAATCCGCGCATAGTTATATGATTCTACGATCATATATTCAGTTGGACGGATGTCAGTACGCGCGACCAATTACAGAGTGCGCCTGATTGGTCGAATTTATGCGCGAGGCCTTTTCTGACCTTGCACGTCCAATCAAACGCGGTCATGTAAGATCATCCTCATATAAAACCGCATATTTACCTATATGAGCGCGCATACGTGATGCTCGAATGTGTATATGATCTATTTTATTAATCTAAAACTATATTAATAAATTTGAGAGACATTAATACTGCCGAAATTTTGCCATTATACCTATATCACGCTGTGCGATATAGGTATGCACAGTTTGATTAGGTATAATGTCGAAACGCTGGTAGTGATAACGTCTCTCAAATTTATTAACATAGTTTTATATTAATAAAACAGATCACACATACATTCGAGCATCACATATGCGCGCTCATATAGGTAAATATGCGATTTTATATGAGCACAATTTTACATGACCGCGTCTGATTGAACGCGCAAGGTCAGAAAAGGCCCCACGCATAAAGTCAACCAATCAAGTGCACTCTGTAATTGGTCGCGCGTACTGACATCTGTGCAACTGAGTATATGATCCGGGAATCATGTAACTATGCGCGGATTGGTTACGATATGGACCGAAATTGAGCGCAGCTGTTTGCCTAGATTACCGTGGCAATTTTGTCGCGTATCCAAACAGTGACGGCGCCGCCCTCGTGCACGTCTTTCCGGGTGCGTCACACTTTCGCAGGAAGAGACAAGTTCGACATAAGAATTTCAGGACTAAAAACCGGTTTTGGGTAATGTGCCGGATAAAAAAAATGCCAGAGGAAACCTCTGGCAAGACCACTCGAGCAATTATCATCGAACTGTCCGACCACGGTAGCAATTCAAGGCTACGTGTGCAACGGCAAATCACCGTTTCCGGGTCTGGAGAAATTCTCTCCCATCCAACCGATCAGAAACGCTGAGTGCCTGTCTGGCTTTGTGGAAGGCAGATTGCTTGCTCAACGCCTTAAAGAGGCTCGACAGTCGAGAAGGGACTCCACAACCACAATTATTCAAGTGCCGTATTTGAGTTCCACAGCATCTGTTCCACATTTGAGTTACCAGCTGCTGTGTTCAAGCTTCTGTTTTCAGTCTGCAACGCAGTGAGAATTTTAGGCTCAGACATGGCAACGATTCTAGGCTCTTCATTCACTGGACAGTGCTTGGTGCTTGACACAAGACAGGGTCTGTCGATGCACTCCAGCTGCGAAAGCTTGCGCGTGACTGCCAGTGCTAACGTGGATCTCGCTGCCAAGCGACATCACAAGGATCAGCGATCAGAGCAGTTGAAGATGAATACGGAATCAGTGCAGTTGCTACCTCGAGCAGCGGATGATTTCATCGCAATCACTACGAATGAAAAGCTGGCTCCGAAGTTTACTCCTGAAAAGGCCAGACTTCTGCGAATGTCTCTCCGGAAAAGCGACTCTCATCACGATGCTATGTACCACTCCGGGCTTGCGTCTCGGCTAGCGTGATGAGCACCGGGCTGTTGGGCATCACAGCCTCCATGGTCTCCTGGAAGATGCCTTTCAGGACAACTTCAATTTTGTGCAGGGCTGCCTCATTGATGGCGCCATTACCACCATTCCGTGTCTCTACGCGTACAGTAGCATGTTATCTAGAGAATTTCAGAGATGTTATGTACAGTGAACGATCAATCTAGTTGTTTGCATCCATTCAGAGTTCTACTTCAAGAAGAAGACGTTCCCTTCTTTTCACAAGAGTGCTGCCACTGTGTCGCTGTCTCTCACTACCCACCCGTTTTCCAGTTTTTTTTCTCTAGGATGTCGCAATTGCGTCTTTCAAGAACTTATTAGCCTCCATTCTTTTTCCACGACGGGACGATTAATCTTCCACAGTAAATTCTCCTTGCGCGCTAATCAGGGTTCGAGCCGTCAAGGCTTCCGATCTAATAGCAACGTGGCTTTGATTATCTACTAGCCGACACATACGTCAGTACAAAACAAATGTCACTGGGAATCCGCTTTCATTGAACAAAGTCATCGTTAAACATTATGTACAAAAAAAATCATTTGGGGGCTACGTGCGGACTTGCACACGTTTACGATCCGGCATCTATGTATAGGAGCCAAAAATGTTGACGGGGCGGAGACTGGAGTTGCAAATATCCTTGATCTGCGGACCTCAAGCGAGCCGCGAGGCCAGGCCGGAGTGGTACATGGTGTCGTGGAATGCCTCGCTCTCGCGTAGCTTCTGCCTTAGTAGACGAGCTTTCTCCGCACTGAAGGTGCCCCTTGTGGCAGTTTGTACGCCAACAGGGATTGAGCCGTCAGCAGCACGAAGTGTTGCAGCCGAAGCCTTGGCAGGAGTGGACACCCGAGGCTTTTCTTGGAATGCGTCTGGGACGCTCAGTCTCTGAGGAGACTGGACGGAAAGCGATAGGTTGAGAGGCGGCTGCGAGGGAACCGACATTATATATCTGGCGATGTCATGGGACGAATCGTTTTGCACACAGGCGATGGACTGTCCGAAGAGTGTTGAGTGGACTGACGAGGTGACGGTGTAAGTCATTGTTGCAGATCTAACTTCCGCAGAATGAAGTAGAGCTTGATAAACCAGATCGAGAGTAATAGAAGGCTAATCTTTGTGGATAGACTGGTAATGGAATATGGATATGGAGCCTTTGTACGTGCCTGTGGTACCGAGAGAAGGACGATGGTCGAGGCAAGGTGGGACTACGGGGCGAAAAAATCGCAGAGCGCAGGTACGGTTGGTGGTTGGGTGGACTAACCTGGTTACAGCTTGAAGGCTGGGGGGTTGTTGGAATAATCCAGGAGGTGCGGATGTGGCTGGTTTGGAAGAAATGACCAGGTGACTCTTGTTGGGAAGGTAATGCCCCTGCGTCTGATTCAGGTTTGGGTCCGAACTCATATTTCTGCAGCAGCTGGATATAATCTTCCGCGATAGATGACAGGAAGAAGCAAACTTTGGTTTGAGAAGCAGTGTAGCATTGTACCCATAATGTGCGAGACAGAAACGCTTTTTGCCCCATCGGTTAGGTGTTCCTAAAAAAAATGAGACTTGCCGTCGCCGCATCCCATGTGTCGTTTCCACCCATGTGCCTCATGATTTCACCGAAATGTTTGCACACTGTATCATCGCGGTGTTCGTGACCCAAATGCGACCACAGCGACCAGAATGACTGCCCCCCCCCCCCCCCCCCCCCCCCCCCGCCCCACGTGAAAGGCAACTTCCATGTGGAGGCGATCATCAAGGGGGAACCGAACCGCAGGGAAACTGGATGACCGAGTTCAAATGCGGCGAGATGTCCGGCCCAAATTTCGGGCCCGTGAATTGCGTAAACTGGATGAGGTTGACGTGCTAACTTCAAATCATGCGTCAGCATTGAGGCTGACTTCAGAAGCTCGCTAGTAAGTGGCTCACTCAAGTAGAGAGTGATGGACGTGTATCATCTAGTGCTATACCTGTAAAAGACATGACGGTCATGGAAAGCATGTTAGGTGCTATTTTAACAATCAAAATATATGTATTTTATCTAACTGGATTTGTTTTAAGCCTCTGATTTTCCGAAATACCTATATCTGGAATGTGATAAATAACCGTGCTGGTTCTGTTAGAATGGCCGCTAAATCCATTAACTGTTCAGACAACTTATAATTGGTCGCGTCATGGTACAATCGCGGACCCAGTTCTCCCCTCCCAACCAACCAAGGGTCATAGCACATCACATCCCCACAACATCACTTGAGAAGACATGAGCAGCCGTGGACATTCCGCTGAAGTCTTGATACCAGCAGTTGTCACGGGTAGCAATGGTGTGCTCCTTCGTCTTGGAATCCACGAGCCGTCTTGTCGTGAAACTGGTCTGGTCAGATAGGATGACGGTCCATTCACGAAACAATGTCCTGTCAGTCCTGTCCAACGCAGCATTGCCGATTTCGTGGCATGGTGCCATTGGTCTCAACGATGCAGATTCCATATTTTTTCATACAAGCTCTTCGCAATCATGGTACCACCATGTACGGACTCTTACTGGCGTCACCTCGCTGCTAATCCTGTGACTGGCGTGAGAGCAGACACGTCGACTCACGTGACTTGAAGGCAGGAAGAAGGCCTGAACCATCACAGAACGTCCCGTCATGGCCAGCAAGGGTTCTCTCTATCTCGGGAAACACCGCTGCGATCATTCTTCACTCCTGGTCCGTTCCCTGCGGCGACATCACATGTCGCGTCTTTGGCTCCAGCGTGGCATCAAGACCGCTGCTGATCGGCCGACGATATTCCAAGCCGCGATCGCTCCGAGGCTCCTAATTCGTGGTTCTGAAAGCACCAGGATCCATGCCTTGTCGGTTTTCTCGACGTGACTTCAAGAATATATGAGAACGCACTTGTGGGATTTCTGTATCAGCTTGTCCTGGTTGTGTTATACAGGGTTTCAGCCGTCGCTCTGCGACTGGCTCGGTTTCGACATTCCCAGGGTTGACTGATCGTTGGACTTTCTTAAGTTGTCCGTTGTGTCAGGGTCGTTCTGGGCCTTTCGAGAAACGTCTCCGAGGCCTTCGCCCTGACTTGCCGTGGCTTGCGCTGTTCAGGCAAAGGTCCGGGGGTCAGATTAAAGAGCTCGGAACCTGGCACTTTCAATGTCTGCAAGTTCAACCCAGATCCACAGCCAGGATTACGCCCAGTGATTTCTCTTCGTTGCGTTGGTCCCACATTCGTTGAATCCCCCTTGTACCAGCCAGCAGTACAAAAATCAGCATCATCTTCAGCATCAACTCCTGCGGTAGCTTCAGCATCAGCAGGAGTGTGCTAAGAGCAAGGTCATCAGCAGCACAACCAGCGGTTGCAATCCCGTGACAGACAGCCAATCAGACGGCAAGCCTTCCTGGGAAAGATGGCACGATCTCATCTGCCGTCCAGCACCTGGCGTCCCTCTGTAGCGAAGGACCATGCCTCTGCCCGTGGTTACAACATTCCACGCGTTATTGTCACCTTCTGCGCAGTCACACTGCTCGTGCTCTGCTGCATGGTTCCCGTGGGTGCTGTCCCGCCTCCGGTGGTGGAGTGTGAAAATGGAGGCTCTGAGACGTGCACTGTCAACAACGCCTATGGAGCCAATTTCGATGGGGTCACTTGCAAGTAAGACGTGCGGGCGGAATGAGCGAGGAATGGGATGATTAGGGAAATGGAAGGAGCACTGAATGGGACGGTCAGGCAATGGGATGAGCAAGGAAGGAATGGACTGGCAAACAATCAGGCTTTATGTCTCTCTTTAAGTGCCATGGCAGCTTGGATTTCTTCCTACTCTTCGCAATGGCAACAGCTACTCTCTCGTTGCGTTATTATTTCACACCACCGTTTTGTTTGCATGGTTGCATCGACTGCAGGGCATCACGAGTGTTCTACCCAGCGTCTGAGGACGAGTTCATTGCTGCTGTTGCATACGCCAGCCAGAACAACCTTCCGGTATGTCCACTTCCCATATTTCCTTTTCCCAAATCGTATCTCCACTTACTTCCCTGTCTGTTTTAGTTTTCAAGCACTCCTCTTCGGCTGTATGCTGCCATGGCCACCTGCAAGTGGTTGGGACGCATATTAAGTTGGTGGCAATCAAATTGATGAACCAGATCCTGTAATTTCTCTGTGCAGTCACATCAATTCAAGGGATGTATTGGCTTAAATGTCATCCAATGGGCCTTTTGCCACGTGGCAGGTGAAGGTGGTGAGTCAGTTCATCCACACCACAGCCAAGTGGTACTGCCCTGGGGGGCAAGCAGGCGTCGTTATAGTCACAACCTTCTACAACAGCATTCAGCTCGACACACAGGCCATGACCGTCACTGTAGACGCGGGTGTCATGGTGAGTCCTTTTTGAGACGTCTCAAAAGGCGTGGTTATAGTCACAACACAACCTTCTATAACAGCATTCAGCTCGACACACAGGCCATGACCGTCACTGTAGACGCTGGAGTCATGGTGAGTATGAATGCCCATCACAGGCTGAAAATTCTTGTCCTTCAGGACAAATCACCTGTTTTTTGGGCACCTTGTTTCATTCCCGTTCAGCTGCCTCGCTGCCTCAGCCCACCATTAATGGGGCCCACCCACCCTACCTTTTCTTGACCAGTGACTGTTCCGCTGCTTCATTTTTATTGACCTACGCTACCTTGCTACTCTACAGATTTACGATTTCTTCAGCTACCTCGCTCGCCACAACCTCACCTTCCCCACTGCGCCCTACTGGGATGGAGTGACTGTGGTTGGGGCTATTGGCACCGGCTCACACGGCAGCACACTGCAGTTCAAGGTATCATTGGATTGTCTACAGTATCCTTCCACAACTCCAACAGCGCTAGCCTATTCGTGCTAATATCTCCACTCCGGAAAAGGGGAATGTTCGAATTGTAAAATGAAGATAAACCAGTCCCCTTCCCATTCCCATCCAACCCAATGTCAGGGTGGCCGCATGGGAGAATACGTGCGAGGGGTGCGGGTGGTGGTGGCAGCAGATGAGGCGAGTGGGTGGGTGGGGGTGAGGGAGGTGAGCGGAGGAGATGAGCTGCTGGCTGCTCGCCTGCACCTGGGGCTGCTCGGAGCCATTTCCAAGATGACCCTCGAGGTCTACCCCATGTGGAAACGCCAGATTGTCTTCTACAACACCAGGTGAAGTGATCTGCGCAACAGTGCTAGGTACTATGGTTACCCATTTTTGCATTCCTGTGCTGGTCATTTTCCTTTGTCATTGCTTACTGTCCATATCATGTTGTGATGGACTATCACCCTCACAACTTATTCTGTCTTGTTCTGGTGTTTGTGTATACCCATCTGTTTCCTGCACCCCACCCGATTCCATGCCACAGTGATGATAACATCGAGAATGAAATTCTTTCATTCGCTCAAAACACAACATTCCCGGACCTCAACTGGTATCCCTCCTCGTACAGGTAATACTCCATGCCTCGCTAGATTCCTTGTTACGTTTCATCTCTTCATTTACATCTTCTGTGCATACAGAATGTGGAAAATACCCACCTCCTGCCCAATATAGCTGCTGAATACACAAGTTATTTGCATAAACACAGAGTGACTTAAGATAGGCAGTTCTCCATATTCATCCCTCGATCTTCCTCCTCGCAGTGTCTTCTGGCGTCGGGACAATCTTGTGTCAGTGGCCACACCAGGGGATGGTTCCTACACACTCCCTCTCTTCCCTGGCCGCCTTGAATACGTCTGGTCTGCTCTGGCTGCCATGGGTACGTATGTGCTTCTGTGTCTTGCTTTCCTGAACGTTCCTCCCTCTGTCTTCAGCGGTAATTTGGTTCCTAAACTTACTGCCCGTTTTTTCCCCCTGCCTCTGTTCAGACTACCAGTCTGAGGTCTCACGCAATGCAGACGAGCAGTGCCAGGCCTGGCTCAACATCCAGGTCCGTTTCTGTGACAATTCAGTTATACAAACTCCCCTCGTTTTACATTTCCTGGTTCCACTTGTTGAATTTCTCTGATAGATGATTAGCAGGCTAACATGATGGGCTAACATTATGTCCACTCGAGGCATCTCTCACCTCCTCTGTTTGTCCATGACAGGTGCCGACTCTGCTTGGTGGTGGCGGCGGTTTCACCAACGATGGCTCTTCCTTCTCATCATTCCCTGTTGGTGAGTCTTCACAGAAGAAATGGCATAAGTTATCATCTGAGGGAGTAGTCCCATGGAGTTTCTGAAATAACAACAAATGGCACCTTTTCCTTCCATTTCTCACATGCCATTTCATTCCTCCATTGGTTCTTCAGTTGGATTCCACAACCGCATCCAGTCGTCCAGCGGGTGCGAATTTGCTCCAGACTACCCCATTGGCAGACAGACATGCGCCTGGGATCCTCGCATCAGTGGAATCAAATTCTTTGAGACCACCCATGTCATTCCACTCAGGCGACTCAAAGGTACAGTGCATTACAATGTGTTGTCAATAAGGGTGTATACAAACGAACAAATGCGGCACATTCTGTCCAGCCAGTGTAATATTCTGTACATGATGAAGCCTCATTCTCTGAGCATGCCATGTGGAATCCATGCATGTGACGTTTCCTTCCTTCACAGAATTTATTCTGACTATCAAGCGCATCCGGGACATGAGGCAGAATGCATTCTGTGGTGTTGGTCTGTATGGAGGCATCTTCTTCCGGTTCATTCGCGGGTCGACTACACTTCTTGGCAACAGTGAGGATGCGGCTATGGTGGACATTCAGTACTACCGAAACACAAATGTCTCCCACCCTCGCACAAATGGGGTGAGTTCAAATTGTGAGGGCGCAATCGGAATATGGTTCATCAGTGCATGCTCAGCTCATCATGGTGGCACACATTCTTTGCCTTTCATCCCCGGTTTGTTGTTTGCTGCAGGACATCACTGACGAGTTTGAGCAGATTCAAGGGAGGCTTTTTGATGCCCTGCCTCACTGGGGAAAGAATAGAGATGCTGCTTTTGACAACATTCTGCACAAATTGCCGGGTGCGGCAAGGTTCCTGCGTGTCAGGTGAGAATGAAACACTGAAGTTCAAGTGGCTGACTTGGATGCAGTCTTTTTGCCAGTCTATGCATGGCCTTTCCCTGCTGAAGCTGATAATGTGTTGTATTGTATTGTATGCCATCCCTCCACTACCAGGCAACAATTTGATCCTCGTGGCTTATTTCTCAATGAGTGGGCCATGAGGGTCTTTCGCCTCAGCAGGACGCCTGTACAGATATACCGTCCGCTCTGTGCTCTGGAAGGTGTCTGTCACTGCACGGACGATTCCCACTGCAACCCAGCAGCTGGTGCTTTCTGCGCCAAAGGCTTGGTCTTCACCAATGCCACTGTTTGCCGCCTTGCAACCGTTCAGCAATCTTGAAGAGTGTCAGATTCTTTAAAATCTATCTGCCGGCCCAGCGTCAGGAGAACCTGTTTAATGATTCAGTGCGTTCTATGTACTTTATAAGCAAATGAGCATTACATACATGATAAATAGATACATAGGAGGACTACATGAGCGCAGACACAAAGGCAGATGCTGCTGAGCTGCTGGAAAGCATGTATAGAGAAATCGCAATCAGTATCGTTCAGAAGTGTCAGTCGACGAGGTGTCAGCTGAAGCGGACTTCGTTCGACAGATGATGTTTAGCGCTTAATTTCGTCTGCGAGTTTTTGCTCTAACCGGTTGTTGAAATCGGATAATCGTCGCCATGATAAGGACATCTCTTGAGACTCCTTGCAGACATTTGAGCTCCTTCCTCCTAACATAGCTCTCGGATTCTTCACGTGGACGTCACTAAAAAAGTCAAACTCGTCGCCAAGTGACTTCTGGCATGTCTTCACGTAAAACGGGTCGTACATGATGCTTCCCATGGTAGACTCCGAACTGATTGTTGAGAGCGACGCGTTCTGAAACAGCCTTCTGAAGTGAGAGTAACAAGAGCACAAGCTAGAACTTCTTTCAGACGTTGATACTCAGAACTGACAGGTCACTCAGACTAAGTGGAACAAGGTCACAGGCCAGAATCGGAGGAACTTCATCTGATGTTTGTACAACTCCACAACACACCGAAGATCACCAGGAACTAGGAACTTTAGAGGCCAATATGCCAGAACAACGAATATTCGCTTGCCTGAGAGCATTTGTTGTTCTCCCTGGTCTTGCAGAGTGGATGACAGCGGCTTGAGGTAGTGCTTGGGCTGGTCCTGTCCTCTGGCTGGCGTTTGGCCTACAACACCCAGACGGACGGAATTGAGCGGAAGGTTCATATTTTCCAGACTTGCAGAAAACGCTCGATTCGTCGAAAAGCATATTCATGCCAACAACTCTGCCCAGTAGGTGGACAGCATGGCGCCATGTCACCTCTACGTCAACCACTCGAGCGCCATCACGATATCCGTTTCGTACTCCGTCAGGGTGAAGCGATTCGTGACGCCAGCAGATCGACGGCACTGGAGCAATTCCGTGTCTCGCACCTCCAGGGTAAAATCCAGCGCACGGATTGGACGAACAAAAACCTCCCGAATCCTGTGAACCACACGGCTGCGAGTCTGCCTCGAATTCAGACATGTGGGACAAGACAGAAACTCGATAACTTCAAGAACATCAACCACTACCCAGAACTTTTGCGCACAGCCTTTTGTAGAACTTTATTAGATTGAAATAATGGTCTCATTATGAAATCCTTGTCCTAAATTGGAACGCTTTGACTTCTGGGGATGCCAACAGCGATAATATGTCCTGAAATAGGACGCAACGGTCTCATCCGTGCCAGCCAACCTGGGGAAGCAGAATGGGATGTAGGTCTGCCGAGCGAGACACCAGACAGTGAATTCAGCCTGACAACCCTTCGTTGAGTCTCTTCCTTTCTTGACCTCCCTGTTCCTTGCACGGCTGCTGCCAACAGTGACAAGAATGTCGACCCTGACTGGCGAACCTCTTCCTCCTCCTCACCTCCTATGACTGCCATCAACTCTGCATTGACCTCAAATTCTTGGTGAAGCGCAGCGGATGCATCACCTGCTGATGCAGAAACAGCATCATCACACCCACGGCAACCATAACCTACCCCGCCTACTCCTCCCGCTCGCATTTCCTCCCTCCCTGTGCATCCAACATCATCTCCACACTCTCCCACCTGCCTCTGCCTCCCTTGCCTAAGCTCTCCCCCCATCCTGCGGCTCGGTGTCAGCGGCCCTGACTTCGACACTCGCATCCCCCGCTGATTGCCTCCCTCTTTTCTAGCTTGAGCTCCGGGCCCAGGTCTCGGCATTCCCTGACAGGTCTCCACTTTTTCTGGATCTGAGCCGCCATTGCCAGTTTCACGGACTGTCCTAGCCTCCAATCTCTCCGTCACACGAGCAGACAAACTCCGGACAAGGCGGAGGGGTTGACCTAGGTCTAACCTGATCCGCACTGTCTCCTTTATGCCCGTGTTCCCACTAGATTCACCCTTCCTCCTGCTAGAGCCATTCGTGCTCCCACTCGCGCTGCTCGTATCTGCGTCCACGTGGCACCAGCTGTGACGTCTGCTGCTTCCGCTGCCCACGCTCCGCCGCCCGAAGCTGCGCCAGCGGCGAAGAACTCCCGGCTTTAGTGACGTGGCACCATCTGATAGGTCATCACTCCTGCATTGTGTAGTTTGGGTCCCTTGTAGAAACACCTGCTGCTTCGGCTGGAGATGCGGCGGATGGGGATACGGCGGCTGGGGATGCGGCGGCGGTTGATGCTTCAGCACCGACAGTCGCGCGAACACGCCAATGCTTTTCGGCGGAGCGTCGTCTCGCGCTCGCGGGAGTTCCCAGAACGTGGGCGGAATGTCGCACGCCAGCGACGGCGGAGCCTCCCCCGGAATGCGGGCGGCGGAGAAGTCCGCAGGAAGCGGCCGCGCGGTATCCCTAGGGGTGACGCTTTCGCGTGAAGACTCCGCGAGTGCGCGCGCCCAGGGCCCCGCCGCGGCAGAATGCGGGGAAAAAATCTCCGCCAGGAGCGGGTTGTCGGGCACGAGGAGGACGTGCGCGGGATGCGCACTCCGCGCGTGGTGGTGGTGCGCTGCCTTGAAGGGGACAGTGGCGCGGGGACTCCCGGGGAAGATGCGCGGGCTTTGCGCGCGCGAGGACGAGATCCTCGTGCGCGCCAGGTGGCTGTGCGCGTGAACTGCGCGGCTCAGGGGACTCCCCGCGGCAGGCGGAGAATCGGCGCGGAGAAAATCCTCGTGCGCGCCAGGGGGCTTATGTCGAGGTAAGGGGCTTCCCGCCTGTCTCCGCCGAAATTTTCCGCTTAGGGGCGATTGCAGAAGGTTGCCTCCGCGGCAGTGTTCCCCTAAGGAACGATGCGCGGGCGAGAGAACAGCGCCACTTACGCCACTGGGAGCACTTGCGGCAGTGGCGGCATCAGTATGAGATTGATGATGATCCTCCAATGGGAGTTCAGAAGCGACGGGCGGCAGCAGTAGCCCCGGATCACGTAGCGGAGAGAATCGCGGAATCACTGGAGAGGGATCGTCATCACTCGATCTAGATCGGACAGCTGCCATTGCTTCTCCCTTGGTTCTCGGCCTTGTGATACGCTCGACTGCTAATTACGCGACTAAGCAACTAATAAGAGACTCACGTCGACAATCGGTCGCTTGTCTTGTGTCTTCTCCTAAGATCAAGTTGTCAATCGTCGAGTCTCACATTGACGTGACATTCTAGCCTGACGATTCTGATGTTGGATTGTTGGCGGCGTGGCGAAGCAAAGCAACCCGTTCGTTGCTCTACTTCCCGTTCGAAGGCTGTCGTTTGATTCTCTTTCTACACAAGAATTCGTGAGAATCAAAAGAATCGTTCAGATGAGGTAAGAAAGAGGTTGGTGGTGGTGGTAAGAGATAAGACGGGACGGGATGGATGGATGGATGGTGACGAGGACCAGAAGTGATTTAGAGAACCAGACAATCGGGGTGTGGCACCCGACAGAGTGAGAGCTTCTTTGCTAGGTTAAGAAGAATAGTGCGTGATTCAGTATGGTGGTGACGGGTTCTTTTGCCACATTCCTCTTCTTGTGGCTCGAAGGAGCGAGTACAGTCACAAGAATCAGGATCAAGGATTGGCCTGTTGTCATCGTCGTCACGTCCACACTCGCTGGTGTACACAAATCATATCTGATGGATCGATTGATCCCGATCGACTCGATGATGTGAGTCGAAGGGCACTGTGAGCCGAAAATGGGCGGACCGCTGAAATTCTCCCCAGGTACTGGGGCAGAGGTGTAGAGGTTGTATTGGGTGTGGTTGTTGGGAGGACCTGGGAGGAAGCCAAAAGACAAAGGGTGTTGTAACGAAGCGGGGCGTGTTTCGATATCATTTCATGACACAACGGGCTATGGTAACCGTGCATTATGTAAGGTTCTGGATGAATTCCAAAAGATAAGCTTAGTATTCAACTTTTTAAGATAGATACTCAGTAAAATACTTGATCAGTACAAGCGTCAAGAGGACTTCCCACGGGTATGGCTTTGCAACATGTGACGTCTCCTATAATTGATGTTCTCTGATTAAGGTTTGGCAGTTGTAATAAGCAAGTTTGCTTCACAATGCCCATGTACAGTAAATAAGGAAACAAAAATGTAAAAACAAAACCCCCTTCTTTGTAAGGGCCAACACAAACAGGCTAAACCCCTCAACCAGACCCGATCACCCACTAGCTCTCTCAGTGAGCCATGAGGGTGAGCGCATCCCGGGAGCGTCCCATCAAGTTCAACACAGTGGATGCGATCTGGCCGGCAGACAGCCCTGCCTCAATGATTTGATCCTTGGGTGCTCCGTGCTCGATGTAACGGTCGGGCAGGACGACGGGACGGAACTGATGGGGTTGAGGGTGGAAAGAGGGGACGGGTAGACAAAAAGAGAGATGAGCTTTTATCCTAGCACCTGCACACATAGGGATGAGCTGTAAGTGCTGGATGTGTGCTGAGAAGCCTCACAAGATGCGAGTATTCGAACTAGCCACTTCCTCACCTTGATCTTGCCGTCATCAAACAACCCCTCCAGCGCCATGAAGTGCTGCCCGTGCGCCGACGAGCCTCTAACTCACACCCTCGCTGATAGGTGTAACACTGATAGGATGGGAGTACCGAACAATGCTCACCTTGATCTTGCCGTCATCAAACAGCCCGTCCAGCGCCATGAAATGCTGCACGTGCTCTGAGAAGCCTCTGAACTGCCACTGCACTAGTAGGATGGGAGCACCGAACAATGCTCACCTTAATCTTGACGTCATCAAGCAGCCCGTGGAGCGCCATGAAGTGCTGCACATGAGCCGAGAAGCCTCAACTGTCCACCCACACTAGACCGGGGCACCCTAACAAGATGAGAACATATACGATTGCTCACCTTGATCTTGCCGTCATCAAAGAGCCCATCGAGAGCCATGAAGTGCTGCACGTGCGCCGAGAAGCCGCCCACCGACCCCTCCTCCACCACCACCAGCACCCCGTGGTTGCGCGCCAGCTGGCGGATCAGATCGCGATCCAACGGCTTGCAGAAGCGCGCGTCAGCAACAGTGACCGAGATGTCTCGCTCCTCGAGCATCTTGGCAGCTGCCAGGCAGTTGAGAGACATGGTGCCGTAGCCCAGCAGAGCCACGTCTGTCCCCTCCTTCAAGATCCGTCCCTTGCCGATCTGCACATGCATAAAGAGGGGATGTATTTTGATTAAATCATGCGCCTCTGAAATCTGGGAGGGAGAGAGAGATCCTAGGAAAAACCTCTAAAAGGATGATTACCAAGAAGGTGCAGCAGTTTACTGCAGTGCTTGAGGAAAACCAGGATGTTGGATGGGGGGAGGGTGGGTGGACAAAACAGAAAGAGACTTCTCACCTCGAGCGGCACACCCTTATTGTTGGCAGGCAGAGGCAGCCCGATTCCATTCCCACGCGGGTACCGGAACACACTGGGCCCCTCGTTATAAGCCGCTGCAGTAGCCACCATATGGAACAGCTCCACCTCATCAGCAGGTGCCATCACCACCATCTCGGGGAGGCACGCCAGGAACGCCACGTCATACGCGCCAGCGTGCGTCGCCCCATCAGCGCCGACCAATCCCGCGCGGTCGACAGCAAAGCGCACCGGCAGCTTCTGCAGCGCCACGTCATGCATGACCTGGTCGTACGCGCGCTGCAGGAAGGACGAGTAGATGGCACAGAAGGGCTTCAGCCCCTCGACAGCAAGACCCGCCGCAAAGGTAACCGCGTGCTGTTCCGCAATCCCCACATCAAAGCAGCGGTCCGGGAAGCGTTTCGCGAAAAGGTTCAGACCGGTTCCACCGCCCATGGCGGCATGGATCGCCACCACATTCTTATCCTGCTCCGCCTCCGCAATTAGGGCTTCCGCGAAGTAAGTGGTGTAGGCCTGAGTGGCGCTCTTCCCCTTGTGCTGCCGACCCGTCGCCGGGTCGAATTTCACCACGCCGTGATATTTATCCGCTGCCCTCTCCGCGTACGGGTACCCACGCCCCTTTTCAGTCACAACGTGGATAAGCACAGGCCCGGTCGACTGAGTGTTCTTCACCTCCTTCAATATAGCCACAAGATCCTCTACTGAGTGCCCGTCCACGGGGCCGATGTAGTACAGCCCGAGCTCCTCGAATAGAGTGGATCCCGACCCGCTGATCATCCCCCGAGCGTATTCATCCACCTTGGCTGCAATCTCATGCACCGGGCCTCCGATCTGCTTCGACACGCCCTTGGCAACCTCCCGAAGCTCCCGGAGAGGTCTGGAGGACTGGAGCTTGCTGAGCGCGCTGCTGAGCGCGCCGACAGGGGGCGCCGGGCCGTCGACAGTGGCGGTAGGGAGGGAGACCTGCTTGTTGTCGTTGAGAATGACGATCATGTTGGAGTCGAGGTAGCCGGCATTGTTCATGGCTTCGTACACCATGCCCGCCGTCATGGCACCGTCGCCGATCACTGCGATGACGTTGTTCTTCCTCCCCTTGAGGTCGCGCCCCACAGCCATGCCTGGGGGAGACGAGGGAGCAGGGGGAGGAGGCGGGGGAAAAGAGGGGGGGGGGGGGGGGGGGGGGGGGGGGGAGGGAGGGAGGGGAGGAGTGGGGGGAATGGGCGAGGGGAGGGAAAGTATAAATGACAAGTGAGCATATGCCATGGCACACGGTGCTCAGTCACCGGCTGCACGACCTCTTGGCCTTCAGCAATGCCAGGCAGTGGACAAAGGAAAAAGGGGAAGAGGAGGAGGAAAGGAGTAGAGGGAGAGTGGGTGGGGTGGACTGTAATTACACCTACTGCAATGCAATCGGCGTAAATCCTGGGATGGCTTGTCTTTTTCTCGGTGGTGCCATTCATGGCGTCATGAATTTTAGGGAGAGGGGCTTAGGTTCCGGAGAGTGTCCGGAGGGAATAGAGGATTGAGGAGCGATGGATGGGTGGAATTCCGAGAGGTCCAGTCAGAGTTGAATTGAATTGAAGGGGCGAGAGGACTGGGAGAACGGGGATGGGAGGCTCAGGGTGAAGGGTGAGAGAGACGGCCCCCCGTGATTACCATCTCCGAATGTTGCTCCTGCTGTGCTTCATTGGGGTTCGTGGGTTCAAAGAGTGCAGACATCATAGTCGACTGGGAGGATAGTCATACCGTACGGAACACGGAATCACAGGGCAGGAGAGCTACCCACCCATCCCAGTCACTCCCAGTTACGCCCAACCATTTTACCAAACCCAGCACTCGCCCACCCCAGCCACCCACCAAGCCACTCGCCCCCAGCCGCGCCCAGTTACGCCCAGCCACCCACCAACCCCGTCCACTAAACCACTTCCCCATCCCAGCCACTCACCAAGCCCGGCGGAGATACTCGTGGAGCTGTGCCCGGCGCCGAACGCATCATACTCGCTCTCCGCGCGCTTGGTGAATCCGGACAGCCCGCCCGTCTGTCGCAGCGTGTGCATGCGGCTGCGGCGCCCCGTGAGGATCTTGTGCGGATACGCCTGGTGGCCCACGTCCCAAATGATGCGGTCCTCGGGCGTGTTGAACACGTGGTGCAGGGCAACGGTCAGCTCCACCACGCCGAGTGAGGATCCCAGATGCCCGCCCGTCTTCGACACTGTGAAGATCGTCTCCGCTCGCACCTCCTCCGACAGCTGCTTCAGCTCCTGCTCGGGGGAAGTGGCCGGGGAAGGGGCGGAAGGGGAATGGGACGGGAGAACGCACAGGGCAAACGGGCAGGAGGGATGGGACAGTTAGTTCGGGATTATGTGAGACGACCCTAGTTTCCTGCCCTACTCGGCGCTGACCTTCTGCTCTTGGGAAGGGCCGGCGAAAAGGATCCGGGAAGGGATTGGAAGGAGAGGACGAACAAAGATGGCGACACAGACGAGATGGATGGAAAGGGACATACTGTACCAGTGAGGGGCCAGCGACATGGTTTAACGTCTCGAGACTACCGCTTTCAGGATTCGTTTTGCAGGTTATGAAGAAAAGACACCTGAAACCTAAACTTCCAGAGAATTTTGTCCGGCTGTCGATGTACCAGCAGAAACTCGATATGGGAATAGCTTTCCCTAGAGCCTGAAAGTCTGAGCCCCCCCTTCTCTGTATACCCCATCAATTATTGTCGCATTTCCGTCATCGCTCATACTTCTACGAGACCTGCCATTGGACCTTGAACGAGACAAAAAGACGCAACTTTTTTCATATACCCAGTAGAACACGTACCCTGATGCTGAGATTCTTCATGTGAATCGGGTAGTTGACAGTATCGAGGATAGGCGTGGGAGGCTTCTCGTTGAAGTACTCGCCCTTCTCGCTGAGGGTCGCCACAGGACCCTGGTGTTAAGTACACGATTAAAAGGAGGAAAAAACACAGAAATGCATCAGCCATCGCACAAGAAGGTACGAGATGATAACTTGAAATTACAGTGGCTGGCTACCAGGGGATGCAACGTTAGGGAATCGAAACGAAGGATAGTACTGTGCCCTAATAATCTGGCACGAAATGGATGCAGAAGCTAAGAGCTTACATTGTTGGAGCTTCTGCGCTGGACGTTCCGTCCTCTCTTCGCGACGCTCTTCCTATCCGTGAGATTCACGTTCTGGCGAAGGCCGCAGAAGCTGTCGACCTTGAGAACGGAGTGCGAGGAGGAAGCCAGCACGGGCTCCTGGTTGAGACCAGCCGCGAGCACGGCGTTAGCGCCGGAGCGAGAAGCCAGGGACGCAGCCATGGTCGGTCAATAATAATATAAGACCGGGTGGTGGCTTAGCTCGCGCTGGGCTTGGCGTGTGATCCAACGAGCGGCCTTGGCGGTAGCGAATATTAAATTGACTGACGAAGAAACCAACGAACCAACCCTTCAGACTTCAAAGCTTGCCGCGGGAAACTCGAGGGAGGGCTGCCGTTTTGGATATGTAGGGCGAGAGTGAACCACCGATTGGGGTGCGATCGGACGGCGGGTGGCGTGTCGAGCAGAACACCGGAACTAAGGCTTGTGTTCACTCGGACTTGAGTTGAGTGGTGCGTAGAGGTGAATGTGTGAACATGAAGTTGTCAGGGACACGGGAGATGAGGTCGGGCAGCCTCGATTTCGTGTGTCTGCGTGGCGTTCCCTGCGTTCTCAGGGCGTCACTTTGTTTGCCCGGCTGACCGATCTCGAAGCAATGGTCAGTTCCCCTGGGAGTGGCAGCGTCGATTCCCAATTGAAAATGAACTGGTTTGGAGAACCTTGGACGTAAAACGGAGGGTTGTGGAAACTCTGGAAATTTCCCTTGCCCTGCGGGATACCGCGGGTGGAGTCTCCAACCAGTTAGGCGGAACGAAAAGCTGCTATCCTCCACGGTCTGAGCGAGACGAAATTTGGATGCTGATGTGGCAAACGCTTTTGGAGCCACATCATCCCAAACGTATCGGGTTCCGCCTGTCGTGTTCATGTACCACTATGGGATCGTGGATGCGTCCAATGAAAGCCGAGGAGGCTCCGCTGGCTTATCCTGCACTTTTGAGGTCGGCGCTCGCTTTTGTAATCCTTCCTTCTTGGCACACCTTAGCAACTCATTCTCAAACGAGTGATTTTAAAATACACTGCTGTGGTGCGATACTTATTATAGCTGAATTTCCTCTAGCCACAACAAAGGATGAATCGATTTCGACATCACGACTTCCATCATGTCAACTTCAAACGAGGATGTTTTGACATGACACTTCCCCTCCACCCATTTCTGACAGCGATAGATTCAACGCTTGTCACAAACCACACCGCCATTTCCAAAGCACAGCACTTGCATCGCGTGGCGAGTCGCGACGCAGTACCAGACGTCGATGACGAAGGTCGGCAAGACTGAGGTGACGTCCGTCCGTACCGGTCTCCTGTCCACACTCCCACCCATGGAGCTCCGAATCGGTATAAACGTCTTCATGCAAGTACCACCTTCTCGATCAACTCCTGCCGAATTTGGCAGCTTCTACCAGATTCCTCGCCGCCGAACTTCTTAATTCTCGTCAGTCGCCAGTCGTCTACCTTGATCTCTCAACGATGGAGCGGCCGGCGTTCTCGCTGCTCGTGGTCCTCTCGTGTGCGTCGCTCCTATGGATCCTCGGCAACGTGCAGATTGCCGCTGGTGCGGCGATGCCTCCCGTTAGATGCACGAATGGATCCACTATCGGCATGTGCACGATTAATAACGCGTACGGCGTCAACATGGATGGGAGGCCCTGCCAGTAAGTAGAGCCGGTTTCATCCTAATATTTTGTAGGTGTTTTCATTTATTCATTCGTTTGCAGACGGTTTTCGTGAACTCCTGTCATATCACCTCGTTTCATTATCGCTTCCTCACTTCCTTTCATCCCTCTAATCTCCTTACTCTTCAGGCTTGGCAGGGTGTTTTACCCGCGGACCGAGGACGAGTTGATCAGTGCTGTCGCCTACGCAAGCCAGAACAACCTTCAGGTTCGCCTCTCCCTTCCACCCACCCTACAAGCTGCCAATTGGCTTCATACAATAGTCATGAAATATAGCTTTACTCCATTTACTATGTTCTGAAAATAATATTTTGATTGATTTCATTACTTTCCTCGTGTTACAGGTGAAGGTGGCGAGTGCAACGGTGCACACCATACCCAAGTGGTTCTGCCCTGGCGGTAACAGCGGGGTTTCCATTATCACGCGTGACTATAATGGGATCTCCATTGACAGGGAGGCCATGACGGCCACTGTGGATGCAGGAGTCATGGTGAGTCGGTGCATGCATGGTATGTGATGTGTGGTGTTGCATGGTATGGCATGGCATGGTATCGTGGGGATCTCCATTGACAGGGATGCCATGACGGCCACTGTGGATGCAGGAGTCATGGTGCATGGCATGGCATGGCATGGCATGGTATGGTCGGAATGTCGTTTTTGCTCTTCCACTTTTCACATGTTGTCTCCTGCTTCACAAATCACATCGCATCTCCATTTGTTTCCGCTCCATCACTCAACCATCATCTCCCGTGTCCCCTTCTCCCTCTACCTTTTCGTCCCCTCTATTGACTTCCCCGTTACTATCCCCAGCTGGATGATTTCTTCGCATACCTGGCGGATCACAACCTCACCTTCCCCACCGCCCCCTACTGGGCAGGTAAGCTCAGAATAATACTCATGCTAGTGACAGGGATTCAATTGATCTCTTGGTTATGCACTTGCTGTTCAGATTTTTTTTTATCCGTGTGTATGATTGATCAGTACACTGTACTGTACTGTACATCTCAACTCTTACGCGTAATCTCACTCACTCCTCTTTTCCTGTTCTATTGGATTCATCAGGTGCCTCTGTGATCGGCGCCCTAGGCACCGGTTCCCACGGCAGCACTTTGCAGTTCAAGGGTGGGCGCATGGGAGAATACGTGAGGGGGGTGCGGGTGGTGGTGGCAGCAGATGAGGCGAGTGGGTGGGTGGGGGTGAGGGAGGTGAGCAGAGGAGACGAGCTGCTGGCTGCTCGCCTGCACCTGGGGCTGCTCGGAGCCATTTCCAAGATGACCCTCGAGGTCTACCCCATGTGGAAACGCGAAGTCACCTATTACAACACCAGGTGAAGCTCCTTCTATCCCGTTCCATCATCACCCGTTTACCCGTACCACCACACCACATGAGAATTTCCAATGTCTGGGGTTTCTTAAATCTCCTCCTCCGCCCCGCCTCGCTCCCTTCCCCTCCTGCCCCACCTTCCCCTTCCTCCTTCACCATCACCTCACCCAATGTTTCCCGCCCCATCCATATCCTTTCCTCTCGTCAACCTCGTTACTTACTACCTGCCTGGTTACACTCCCACCCTTACGCATCTCTGGATCTATTCTGTTAGCCCCTCTCTGCCCTACCCTCCCCTGACTGCCCCGCTCTCCCCTCACTGCCCCGCTCTTCCCTCACTGCCCCGCTCTCCCCTCACTGCCCCGCTCTCCCCTCACTGCCCCGCTCTTCCCTCACTGCCCCGCTCTTCCCTCACTGCCCCGCTCTCCCCTCACTGCCCCGCTCTTTCCTCACTGCCCCGCTCTCCCCTCACTTCTCCACCCATTCTCATTCCACAGCGATGCAAATCTGGAGAATGAGATTCTCTCATTCGCGCGCAATACAACCTTCCCGGATCTCAACTGGTATCCCGCCGCACAGAGGTGAGTCCTTCTGGTGGTCCCTCTGCTGTACCCTTGCTGCCCCTCACTATTTTTGAGGCGCCTAAAATGTCACGCAATACAGCCTTCCCGGATCTCAACTGGTATCCGGCCGCCAAATGGTGAGTCCTGCCCCTCACGCCTCACTGCTCCCTCACACGCCTCTTCTCCCTCACACACCTCTTCTCCCTCACACACCTCTTCTCCCTCACACGCCTCTTCTCCCTCACACACCTCTTCTCCCTCACACGCCTCTTCTCCCTCACACACCTCTTCTCCCTCACACACCTCTTCTCCCTCACACGCCACGACTCTTTCTCAATCACATCCCTCTCTTGCCTCTCAGTGTCTTCAGCTCCTGGTTTCTACACCCCCCTTTATCCAGTCCTCCCCATCCACTCTTCCGCCTGGTCCCACCTCAGTGTGTTTTGTTAGCGGAGGGACAACATGGTACCTGTCTCCCGCCCCGGTACCGGCTCCTATGCCCTGCCCGTGCCCCTGCCATTGTGTTATAGTCCCCACATACTCACCCGTCTGACCTCACATGCTATCCCTTGTCACCAGTGTGTTTTGGCGGAGGGACAACATGGTGCCTGTCTCCCGCCCCGGCACCGGCTCCTACGCCCTGCCCATCTTCCGAGGCCAGTTTGACTACATCTGGACCGCCCTCGCTGCCCTTGGTGCGTATGGCCTCTCAATCTCTCGGTTGCGTCTCAACTCACAGGGGGTTAGGGGCCCTCAGGCTCCTACGCCCTGCCCGTCTTTCGGGGCCAGTTTGACTACATCTGGACCGCCCTCGCTGCCCTTGGTGTGTGCTTCCTTATCTGCCAGGTGTTGCTGGTGCTCGTGCCTGCAAGCATACAAGCTCTTATGTGTCCTGTGCTGTGCTGTGCAGTCCCCATCTTCCAGCCCCAGTTGCATAGACTCCCCGCCTCTTCAGCATCTGGCACTTTTACAAACAGGCAGTTGATCCATTCTGTATTTTGCTTCTCACTTCTCCTTTCCCGTGCCTTCCTGTTACATGTCATTCTTCAAACTCACTCTCTCACATTATCCAAACTTTCCTTCTCCCTTCGTTCCTCCCTCCCCCCTCTGCCCCCCTTTCCCATTTTCCTTCCCTTGTCTGTCAACTCGTGTTTTGCTCAATCAAAAACACCCAATTTCAGATCATCGCACACAGACCTCAACCAACGAGCAGGACATTTGCAACCTGTGGCAGACCGTGCAGGTACGAGTTGACTTGAGTTGACTCAATCGACCAGTAAAATCTTTTCCACGTCTTGTCTTTCCGGCATGCCTCGTTACATTCTTTGAGATGACTATCCCACTCAGACATTCGGAATATTTACCCTAGCTGCACCACTCTCGTTTGCCTGCATCCGTCCCAGCCCAGGATCTCATGGGTACTACATGTACCCATCTCAACCCCAACACCAGGTTCCTGTGCTCCTGGACCTGGGGGGTGGCTTCACCAACGATGGCACACTCTTCAGGGGCTTCCCTGTTGGTGAGACTTCTAATTTAGCTGATTTGATAGACTTCTTCTCTGTAGTGCGCCCTCATCACTTCTTCCCCCGCCCCTCCTCTACCCTTCTCACCCAACCATCCTCCCAGTGGGTTACCACAACCGCTTCCAGACGTCCTCAGGCTGTGAGGACGCAGGGAAAACTCCTCTGGGCCGCCAGGTGTGCCCATGGTACCCGCGGATCAAACCAGCCCTCCCTTTCTTTGTCACCCTCCCCCTCCCTGCCTCACATTCACCTGCTCTCCCAGTGGGCTACCACGACCGCTTCCAGACATCGTCAGGCTGTGAGGACGCAGGGCGCACTCCCCTGGGCCGCCAGGTTCCTTGGGAGGGACCCGCCAGCCTCACCCTCCCTTTCCCCTCTCCCATTCTCCAATTCTCCCACCCTCCCAGTGGGCTGCCACAACCGCTTCCAGACGTCCTCAGGCTGTGAGGACGCTGGTACCTCCTAAAGTCACCCCCATTTCCCATATAACTCCTTCACCCCCTTCCCCTCCTCTCCCTTCCCCTCTCCCATCCTCCCAGTGGGCTATCACAATCGCTTCCAGACGTCCTCAGGCTGTGAGGACGCGGGTACCTTCTAAAGTCACCCCCATTTCCCATATAACCCCTTCACCCCCTTCCCCGATTCTCCCATCCTCCCAGTGGGCTATCACAATCGCTTCCAGACGTCCTCTGGGTGTGAGGACGCGGGGCGAACCCCCCTGGGCCGCCAGGTGTGCCCGTGGGACCCACGCATCAACGGGATCCGTTTCTACGAGACCACATTCCTCATCCCGCTCACCAAGCTCAAAGGTGCAAACTATCATTGATACGTCTCAGACGTACGGTGCTCAGGTGTGCGCGTGGGACCCGCGCATCAACGGGGTTCGATTCTACGAGACCACATTCCTCATCCCACTCACCAAGCTCAAAGGTGAGACTGATAATGCTCATGTCAAGTCACGGTGCAGTGTGCACCTTGTGCCCGTGCAACCCGCGGATCAACATCTTTCGATTCTAGGAAACCACCTTCCTCATCCCACTCACCAAGTTGAAAGGTGGGTACCTTACTAAAAGCGTCAATTGTGAGGAAGAGACCTCATTCGCTTGCAACCTCCTGCTTCAGCAGTTTTGCACTATTTCCTGGAATAAATGGAACACTCTCATGTTCCTCTTATATCTAGTCCTCCTCTTTCCCTCTTCCGCTCCCTTCCTCTCTCCCCCCCTCTGTACCTGAACCCCTTACAGAGTTCATCCTTACCATCAAGGAGCTCGCAGTAGCCCGACGTCTTGGCTTCTGCGGCCTGGCCAACTACGGAGGGATCTTCTTCCGCTTCATCCGGGGTTCCGACACTCTGCTGGGCTCAACAGAGGACTCTGTGATGGTCGATATTCAGTACTTCCGCAGCAATGACCCGTCCCAGCCACGCACCAGCCAGGTGCGATCCCTCCCCCTAAGCCTGGTGTATTCTATATAAAGGGTCATCCGGGGTTCCGACCCTCTGCTGGGCTCAACAGAGGACTCTGTGATGGTTGATATTCAGTACTACCGCAGTCATGACCCGTCCCAGCCCCGCACCAGCCAGGTACGCTGTCTCTGTAGCCCAACGTGTGCTGGGCTGTATGTATGTAGGCTCGTGAAGAGTGAAGAGCCCCGACACCCTGCTGCCGACCACAGAGGACTCTGTGATGGTCGATATTCAGTACCACCGCAGCAATGACCCGTCCCAGCCACGCACCAGCCAGGTAAGGCGTTTATGGCCAGGGTGTTTCTTATGCACGAATGGGCCTCTGCTTGGGTCCACGGAGCACTCTGTGATGGTTGACATTCAGTACTTCTGCAGCGAGGGGCTGATCATGGGGAGGAGGTTCAACGGCAAGACTCCTGCCCTGCTGCGCCCTTTCCAGGCTCTGGTGCCGAAGCTTTCCTTCTTGCTACCATCTTCCCTGCCGCTCCGCGTCTCTCCGTTTTACCCCCAATGTGCAGGATGTGATGGAGGAGTGTGTGCAGATCATAGGGAAGATGTTCAACGGCAAGCCGCACTATGGAGCTGAGGAATCGCCCTCTCCTATACCTTTGCCTGCTACCATTGATTAAGTGCCCCGATTTAATGTGCAGGATGTGACGGATGAGTATGAGCAGATCATAGGGAAGATGTTCAACGACAAGCCTCTGGGGAACTGAGGAATCACCCCGTGCAATTACTTTTCCCTTTACCCTTGATTTCAATGCCCCGACCCAATGTGCAGGATGTGACTGACGAGTATGAGCAGATCATAGGGAAGATGTTTAACGGCAAGCCGCACTGGGGAAAGAACAAGGATGTTTCCTTCATTGACGTTCCCAGCAAGTACCCCCATCTTCCTCGCTTCCTCAAAGTCAGGTGCGGCAGGTTACCAGTTACTCGGTTTTTGTTTGTGACCATAATTTCCTTGATTATGCACTGCACTCGCACTTCTTATTCTGACTTCTTACACATGCTCGTATGCTGTGGCATCATGCAGGGAGGCGTTTGATCCAAGGGGTCTCTTTCTCAACGAGTGGGCGAAGCGAGTGCTGGGTCTATCACAGCAGCCGGTGCAGGTGTATGGCGATCAGTGCGCCATGCGGGGCCTCTGCCACTGCGCTGCTGACGTGCACTGCAACCCTGCCCTCGGGTCTTACTGTAGGCGTGGGCTGATTTACACTGATGCTACAGTGTGCAAGACACAGTAAGCTATAGACATGTATGCATACAGCATATGATATTGATTAAACTGTGAACTTCTTGTTGGGCCTGTCAAAGGAGCCGGTGCAGGTGTATGGTGATCAGTGCGCCATGAGGAGTCTCATCAGTCACTGCGCTGCTGACATGCACTGCAACCCCACCCCGCCCTCAGGGAATGTGGGTATGGTTATGTAGAACAGATTGAAGTACACAACACTTGCAGCTTACCGTATGTAGATCAGTTTATGATTCAAGGTGTCTCCCATCAACGACTTTCTCCACATCAGTAGAGGTTAGATCTTATGAAAAATGTTGAGCACTGATTTAATAAATCAAATGCACTTCCAATCCAACACAAAACCAGCTGGATAATAAGAAACACCGTAACATTCTCCTCTCAAGAGGTAATGTGTGCCACGTGTGCCAGCCAGTTGAAGTGCAAGAACCACTCCCCCAGAGGAAAAACAACAAAATCAGGAAATGAAACGAAAAGGGAAAGGAACAAGCCCAGCATGAATGCTTGGGCAAGAAAAGAGATCAAACCCCAAAAAAAATCACAGAGCAGACTATGGGGCACTCGACGAAACCCTGACACGCTGTGTGCATGACAAGGCTAAAAACTTGCAGTGTTGCAAGTGGGATCATTTATCAGCAGCAGCAGCAGCAGAGCTGCATAAGTCCATGGCAGGGATGGGTTGGCACATGGTGAGATCATCCATCAGCAGGAGCAGTAGTGTTGCATGGGTCCATGGTAGTAGGGATGGGCGTGCGCATGGAGACACAGATTTTAGGGGAGGGAGAGAGGTGGAGGGCGAGGCTGTGCAGCTGAGAGGAGAAAGCGTTGGGCATGTCAGGCGACAGGGAGATCTGCACGGGGAAAGGGGTGTGAAGAGAAAAAAAGTGTGAGAATAACGAGGACTGTATAAATTGTGAAGGTTATGAGAACGTGGCAGGGAGAGACATGGCCGGAAGGCATGTGCAAGGGGGGGGATATGTGGCGGGGGGGCGTGTGGTTAAAGCCACAACGGCACAAGGCGTGATGATGGAGGACACAAGGCACAACCGGCAAAATGCACAGCCGACTCACCTCAAACTGGTGAAGCAGCAACGCCACAACTGCACGCACGATCTTGAAGGAGAATCGCAGCCCCACACACGACCGCGGCCCGCCTCCGAACACGAGGAAACGCTCCCCCTGCTCTGGCGGCACACACTCATAATCCCTCCCCGGAAGCAACCCCTCCCTCCACTGCTCCCTTTCCTCGCCTTCCCTCTCTCCCGTCAGCTCTACATCTTCTCCCTTGTCTCTCTTGCCTCTTTTGCCTTCCTTCCCTTCCCTCCCTCGCTTGCCTTCCTTCCCGTCATGTTCACCACTGTTGCTCCGCTCATGCTGCCTGCGGAACCGAATGAAGCGCTCAGGGCGGAACTCCAACGCGTCGTCGCCCCAAAACGAGGGGTCCGTTTGCAGGAGATGCATGGGCAGCGCCAAAACGGTCCCAGACGGAACCGAAAGAAACCGCGTGTTGTCACCATCCCCACCGCTCTTCACCCCTTCATGGACATCCCCGTGCATTTCCCCACGCGAAGAGCCCTCGCTAGCAGAACGAAACCCTCCGTCGCTGCTGCTACCAAGCTGGGGTGACGGAAAGACAGGCAGACGTATATTTTCCGAGAGCGCGGATCTAGTGACCAGAGGCTGACACGGCATTAAGCGGGACGTCTCGTATATAACCGCGTTCAGAAAGGCCAGCTTCTGCAAATCCTCGTCAGTAGGCGACCCGCCATTCGCTACAGCGCGGATTTCCTGTACGATTTTGTCTTGTATATCGGGGTGCGCGGCGAGCGCAACGAGGACTCGCTCCAACAGCCCCGGAACCGAGAGATGACCGTGAAGCATGAGGGAAGCAGCTTCGGCCAATGCTGTCGCCTCGTTATAAAGAGGTTGCCCATAACGGGACCGTTCCGACAGCATGGCCGAGAGAAAACCCTCGTGAGGCGCTTCTGGCGCCCTGACTTGGTCTCTGGGTGAAATGGCGGGAACGGCACCGGGACCAGCAGCAGCATCAACAGCAGAACCGGTGTTGACGCTGGAAACAAGACCAACACCACTAGAATCACCATCAGCAGCGGCAGCGACAGGGCTCTGTTCAGCTTCATTTCCTTCGCATCCGGAGTTTCCCACATTGGAGCCTCTGCTGCTGAAATTGGCAACGCCAACGTCGGGTAGCCCGCACTTGACGCCCTCGCATTCGCCTGACATGAGTCTTCGCATAACTTCGCGAAACTCGTCGCAAACGCGGGAAAACTGCCAATACGACGGAAGCCAGAACGGCTCGACTGGAAACCGCGAAAACGTCTGCGCGCCTGCAGCTACCTTCTCCAATAAAACCTGTAAGCGAGCGTGGATCCTCGACATAGGAAACCCGCTACCAAAAAGAGAACCGCCGAGTACACCAACGGCCATATCCCTAGCTACACCACCCACGTCAATCTCCCCGCCAGACTCGGCGACGGACGTCCAGTGGCGTGACGCCATGTGAACGATGGTTGACGTCACCTCGTGAACCTGAAACTTGAGCGTGGTATGGCAGTGGTAATCTAAGAAGGATCTGCGATCCCGCGGCTGCATGAGGGACGAGAAGCGAGTGGAATCCGCTCCGAGGCAGCGAGCCATGATTCGGCTGAAGGCAGGCGGTCGTTCAAGAGCTCGCATAAGCACCTTGCGAACCTGCGTCGGGTCGCGAATCGATATAAGCAGCTTCGTCGGGCTCATCCAGAGCCTTACAACGGGACCGTACTCCGAGTGAAGCCTTGCAATAAGGTCTGGAAAAGGAGAGCACGAAAATGTGTTGAGATGTTAAAACGGCTACACGGCAGGATATGGTTCCAGATAAAGAAAACGCAAGAGACGGTACGAATAATTGCGACGCCAGCAAGCGCGAGAAACGGAACGAATAAATGACACGCTAAGAAAAGCGTACCGGTGATGCTTCCAGCTCCCGAGAGCTCTGCCGTGTTTCCCCAGAGGGGGTGACCCTTGGGACCAGGAAATTGGTTTCCGCGCCGCCATAGAGAGACGTAGGCGAGAAGCCAGTGCAGCAGCCATCCCGTGAAACCGATAAGAAGACACCAGATGAAAGCGTTGACTTGACCAGGTGATAAGTTCACCTGCATAGGGGGAGGACGAAAAAACAAAGGTGGATTTGAATATACCGTTAGAACAGATTTTCAACGAGACTGTTAATACTCCTGTACGATGCGATGGAGACATATACATCAGAAACTCGCGAACGAAGCAATTCTTAGAGATTATCCGAAGACGTACTTGTTTCCTAGGAGCCAATAGATAAGCGTTCACATCTACCGAACCAGATACGTTAGGCGGATACGGCTGGAAAAAGTCTGCCTCGTCGAAAGACATTCTAACCTCCATCACCATGGCGGATGAATCAGGAGGAAAAAATAACCTACCATGGCAGGTTGAGCTGAAATAGCGAGAGTTGCACCAGTCGTAGCTCCCAAAGGGAACTTCTCGAAAATTTCTCCCTCGGGTTCCTAAAGACTGACTGGACGGTGGAACCGGAGTCGATAGGAAAGAAAACCAGCCCCCATTCCCTAGAGTTCGGAAACGAATTTACAGCGCCGATGTGGACGGTCGGCAAAGAAGGAAGGCGAATTGACCCGGTACAAAATCTAGTTTCTATTGTGATACGGAGCAGGTATACCAGGTTACCAGGATGCAATTGTCGCTCATCTCTGGGCGGGCAGATGGGCAGGAGCCATTGCCTGGAAAAGGGTTGTGAAAATTCGGGACTCGCCGGTGACGCCGAACCGACCGCGGGATGTGCTGCTGAGAATTCACAGTCTCAACCTTCAGGTGGGCGAACGGCTTTCCTTCCTGAGTGGAAAGCCGGTCTGCCCGCATTGCGGGGAGTTTGAAACTCTGGAACATTGCCTCTACACCTGTCCAAGGATCCAGACGGTTGTGGGGGCAGTTCGGAAGGCTCTGCGCATGCTGAATCCGACGAGGCATGTTGACAGCTTGGGTGACCTACTGTTTGGCAACACCGCTTCCACCTCAGCTTTTCCGGAAGCATCTCTCTCGGCAATCGCAATACACCAGATTTGGGCAGAACGGTGTGATTGCGTGTTTCGAGGCAAGAGGTTTCGGGCCAGGCGGGTGCTGAGGAGGATTGAAGCAGCTTTCAGGCTCCATGTGCGGGTGTACACTCGGGCAACAGGGATAAAGCTGAACATGAAGGGTGACTTGAGGCAGGGCGGGAAGACATACGCGCTGGCAGAACAGGAGGGTCGGCTCCTTGGACGTGTCCGGTCTCTGAATGGCAAGGGCTGGAAATGGTCCCATCGCTTTGGCGCGCTGTGGAATCTTGCGCGAGGGGCACTGCATCCCCCTTAGAGTCGTCCCCTGAGGCTGGCACGCTGCCGGGCCTCTCACGCTCAGTTACGACTGATATATGTTTGTATGCACTAGCATCATCGGTGTATATCTTAACATATTTAAAAAAAAAAAAAAAAAAAAACTACCAGCCATTATCTCCAATACTCGAATTTCGCCTGAGCGCGTTCTCAGGTGTAATCACCAACAGAATCATGGCTCCGCGATATAGTGGGAAATTTTTATAGTTCTTTCTCATATACAGTCACTCAAAAGAAATCATTCCAGCGCTTGCGAAAATAAAAATATAGAACCCGTAGCGAACCTAGATGATTTCCGGAAAGGATCAACTCTAAATACCGACAGCCGCCCAATATTTTGGAAAACATATTGCAGCCCACTTGACAAAAAAACACACACACACATACTCGGGAGGCATCAACCCCCAAAACAATGCCAATTCCCGTGTTCAGGCTTGATCCCTCTCGAAAATGCATCCTGGTTCCCTAGGGGTTTTATTGTTTTCTGCCATTCCCGAATAGTTCTTGATAGCGTTGTCTAGTGCTTTCGGTAGCGTTGTTTAGCGGTCGGTTGCGCTACCGAGCACTAAAAATTGAATTATATGGCCTTCAGTCTCTTACTACCTAAATTTCCGTACTTATATCCAATTCGGGAGGGTTAACCGGATGGTTCTGTTTTCGTCACTTCCTAATGAGTTCGACTAGCGTGAGAAATGTGACTATAAAGCGATGACCAATCAACGTTGAGAAATTCCAAATTGTTTACACCTGAAAACGTGCTGAGGCAAAACCTGAGTCTTAAAGATAATGGCCGCGTTACTACGGTCCGTGAAGTGCAGGATCATCGGATAATTCGTTGCCTTCGAGAAGTCACGCATGGCATCGCTCATGAGCTGGGACACCTTTGCTGACAGAATACTCCCTGATATCGGCGTAGGGTGTGACGAGTGGCGATGGGGGGACTGCAGTGGGCGGAAGGGGAGTGATGCGGCGATCAATGCAGCGATCTGCAATCTTTTTTTTTTTTTATATATATATCATATACATTACAGGAATGTACAGACATCGGCAGTCGTAACTGGCATGGGGAGGGGAGCGCCACAATAGCAGATATTGCAGTTCCCCTCTAACGCGACTACGGCGGTTGGTGAGTCATGCTGGGGTTATCCCAGATTGAACTGAAGCTGATCCTCCACGACAGCGGTGCACCGCTTCTGCAGATACGTCGCATCACCGTCGCCTCATCGGCCGCCAGGTGTGCCCAATCATCCCCCAAAACCTGCTTGTCCTTCCGTGCTGCCACCTCGCGCGCCAAGCAGTACGTTCTCGCATGCGCGACAAAGTTGATCACTACCAGCCGAGCCACCCTCCCAGCATGGAATGCCTCATTTCTCCACGCCGCGTTGCACCTTGCCAACCATATTTGCTGCAGACCTGTTGCAATCCACGCCCCTTCCGGAAAACCCGACTTCGTGCTTCTTTGCATGAAGATCAGGTCTTCGAGATCTTGCCACGCTATCCCCGGGTTCATTGCCACCAGCCCTCTCCTCAGCAGGTCCACCACCGGCTGCACTGTAGGACATCCTAGGAGGCAGTGGTCTGGGGTTTCCTCGCCACGACAGTGCGGGCAGACCACGCCCATGAAGAAAAGTCTCGAGCCCACTTGCAGGTTTCTACAGTGGAGCCTTAGAAGGACCTCGCGTGCCCGCCGTGGAGTGGCGAGAGAATCCCTTTGTGTGATGACTCTGTCCCATTCAATTGCCCTCCTCTGCCCTTCCCATCTCCTTTGGTTCTCCTGTCTGCCAGAAGAGCTTGACAGTAATTTCCGTAACCCTTTTGTTGAGATCAGCTCTCCGCCCTCACATGCCTCTGATAGCAGCAGTCTCGTATGCGCGTCACCCATGGCCCCCAGAAATACACAACCCTCCGTGAACATCGGTACACCGCTGCGTAGACCGAAATCCAACGTAAGGCACCTCTCGTAAGGTGCGAACCTTCTGCCATCCTCAACGGTGCATAGCCTCCCCGTCACTTTATCCCCCTTCGCCTCCTCGATCTGCCAGTAGGTGAAGTTTCTAGTCGCGCCATCACCCGACCGTAGCAGCTTCACCTTGGCCACAATCTCCTCGCCTGTCAGTTTTGTTAATACCATCTCCTTCCAGCGCGCCGGTGTCGCTTTAAAAGCTCTCAGCGCCCATTTCGCTTTGTCTCTGTTCCCCATCTCCCTCGTCAGCTCCGCTAACCCTTTGAGTATGCACGTTCTGTCGCCTGCCTTCTTAATCAGGTCACCCACGCGGATGCCCAGCAGCACCAAAGCCCCCTTCTGGTTCCCGAAAGGGCTTGCACCACTGTAGGGGATATTTGGATTGAAAGCCAGATGCTCCTGCTCCACCTCCCAGCGGTTTGTCGGTGTTCGCGGTTTGCACAGCGGCGAGCCCCAGAATTTCTCAGTCAGCTCCTTCCATCGTGCGCTTCCTTTCACCCAGTGATCCAGCACGGACTTGTGCGCGAAGACGGTGTCCAGTCCCAGGGGGAATTCCGCAGCCTTCACCGCCAACCATTTTTTGACAGAGTCCGGCATCAGCACCAGTCGGCAGACGTTCCGGATAGCGATGCTGTTGACTCTCAGCTCCGGGCAAATCAGCCCCAGCCCCCCGTCCTCCCGAGGCGTGCATGCCAGCTTGTAGTTCCAGAGTATGAAACGCTTCTCCTCGGCCGTTTCACCCTTCGAGACAAAGGTGTGGCATAATTTGTGAATCCTCTTCCAAATGGCCTCCGTCGGTAGGTATACTTGTGCCTGGAAGAGGAAGACCGGCACAATGTAGCTGTTGATTATTGTCACGCGTGATGTCGTGGTCAAGTGCCTCATTTCCCACTTCGCTAACTCCCCCCTTGCCCTGTCCAGCGCCTTGTTCCAGGAAGGGGCTGGGTTCCCACTTGGCGTGATCCAGACCCCCAGCAGACGCTCCGGGTCGTCTTTATCCGCCCACTTGTATCTCACCCCGTGCGGTGCCGGCTTTCCCCGGTTTTTCCCCAGCGGAAATATCACTGTTTTCCCTTCGTTCACCTTCAGGCCCGACTCCTCCCCGAAATCCGACAGCACCTTAGACGCCGTCTGGAGCTGCTCCGCACCCTGCAGTAGGAGCGAGGTGTCATCGGCGTAACCCAGGTACGCCAGCTTGCCCACACCCTTCTTTCCGATTCCCAGCTTTTTTCGGTTGATCTCTTGGCATAACGGCTCCACCGCGCAGAGGAACAGGTACGGCGCCAGCGGACAACCTTGGCGCACCCCCTTTTCCACCGCTACCTTTTCACCTGTCCACCCGTTAATGTGCAAACGTGTACCTGCTCCTTTGTGCAACCCCTCCGTCCAGGACACGAAGTTCTCCGGTAGGCCCAACTTCCGCAGGGTGCTGAAGAGGAAGTCACGCGAGATTGAGTCAAACGCCTTTTGGAAGTCGACCATCAGCAAGAACCAGTCCTCCTTCCCGCTTGCCCCCGCATCTATGGCGTCTGCCACCACCGCCACCGCGTCCGCCAACTGACGACCAGGTATGAAGCCGTACTGGTCCTCCGATATGACCTCGTGCAGAACAGTCTTGAGCCTGCTCGCCATCACCTTTGCTAAGATCTTGTACACGGTGCTTAGAAGCGTTATCGGTCGGTAGTTCCCGAGGTCACCTTTGTCACCCTTTTTGTGCAGCAGAATGGTCACCGCTGTGGTGATGTTTTGCGGCAGGTCCTCTCCCCTTGTAAACCTCCCCACCAGGTCCATCAAGATCGGCCCCAGCAAATCCCAGTTATGGTCGAAGAGCTCCTTGGGCAGGCCATCTGCTCCAGGTGATTTCCCCGGGGCGAGCTCCCGAACTGCCTTCCGCACCTCTTCCTCCGCCCAGGGTGCCCCCAGCGAAACCTTGCTCTTCTCTCCCAGCTGCCGCTGCATGGTACGGTCAACCGTTACAGGTAAAGCGCCTCCATCCGAACATCCGAAGGCTTCTCGGAAGTGATCGGTTGCCGCCGAGAGAACTTCCTTCACCCCTGAGAAGACACTCCCATTTCTTGATACTTCGCGGATCTCCGTCCCTGCCTTGCGTGCTTTGATTTGCGCAGACAGGAATCCCGATGCCACCTCCCCATCCAGCTCTGCTTCGACGCATGCCCAAGTCTGCAGTTTCTCCTTGTGACTTTTTTCGTACGCTTCCAGCAACTCCTCTTTCCTGAGCAAGATCCGGCCTGTACGTTGACAGTGTGGGTATCTTGACACTCGGACGCGGAACCGCTCCACTTCTTTGGTGAGGTGCAATCTGGTCGCCTTCTCCCGTTTCCTTTCCTCCCGTGAGTACGCCCTCAGACAGGCGGGTAACCTTCCTAGCAGCCGGTCAGCAGGTTCACCAGCGGATTCCTCGATGATCTTCTTAATGATTTTTCTGACTCCCTGTTTTTTCGTTTGCTCCGCCCTCAACCTCCAAATGCCCGGCCCTTTCTTGACCGTGTCTGCAGATTCCAGCACCACTCCTATTCCGCGCCAGTGGTCCGTCATCCCATTCGTGATCGCCACGTGCTTCGCTTCCACCAATCGCAACAGCAGCGGCTGAGATATCAGCGCCCTGTCGATTCTCGAGCTGGACCTTGTTGCTTTAGCAAAGAACGTGTACTCCCTCTTGTCCGGATGTAAGTGCCTGAAAGCATCCCTCAAATCCGTGTTCCCCCAGCAGCTCAGAAGCCTTTGATTCTCTGCCGAGGAGCCGGAGTGCGATGTGCGGTCCAAGTCCGGGTCCTTGACCACATTGAGGTCCCCCATCACCAAAATATGGTGGAAACTCGGCAAGGACTGCAGAAACGGCTCCAGGCTGTCTCTGTAAAAGCTGCTCCTATTCACCGCCTGAGCCGGGATGTATGCTGCGATCAACAGGAACTCCAGGCCTCCCCAGCGAACGACCACCGCCAGGAGCCTGCCAGATACATGGGTGAAGCTGTTCACGAAGACCAGTCCAGGTACAAAACACACTATAGCAACCCCTCCCGCCGACTCATCAGGGTTTTGTCCACACACTGCGTAGGCACTTGGTGTTATGTCTGTCCAGAAATTGTGGTCAGCCTGAAGTCTTGTGTCAGTGATTATAGCCACGTCCGTCTTTTCTCTCATCCATTCCTTGCATTTCCTCTGTTTCTCTACTCTGCCGAGTCCGTTAATGTTGAACTCACAAAAAACAACTTTGTGGGCCTTATCCATTAATCAGCAACGGTGAAGCCCCTTCGCATCCACGGGCTGTAAAGGTACACAATGCTACTGGAGCAGGTAAGCCGTTGATTCCAGCCTCCTCTCTTATTCCTCTGCCGATGCATACAACTGTTGTGGTCCTGCTGACCTGCACTACTTCTGTAGCTTTGACATGAACTCCTTCCTGAAGGATATCATCTTCTGAGGGAACGTGCCGACACGTGTTGCTGAGCTCTCCTTCCGCAAACCCTCTTTGTGCCGGGCGGATACGATATGAGCCGATGCCTGCTCGAAATGAGTCCCCTGCGCCTTCTCGCATACTGCTTGGACACAAACCCACTCCTCCCGTGTGCCACCAGTGGAAGTGAGGATGATGGCAGGGTCGCGTATGATACGCTTCAGGGAATCTGAAGCTTTCAGGGACGCAGCTGCGGGGGGAGGGAAGCGGCCAATCGTCAGAAAGTGGTAAGAAGTTAAAAACGAGTGAGTTAGCAGGTCCCAGAGGCAGGTAAGGCGTCGCTCTGCTTGTACCGTTCATCTGGTGCACTTTCTTAACCGTCACATTCCAGTTGTTGAAGTTGTCTTGTCTTGGGGCGACGTAACGGTCATGGTAACGAGTCATGTGCTGCCCACCGCAGAAATCGCAGGTCAGCGACGGGTAGTGAAGCAGGTAGCTCTTTCCAGTGGTGGGGTCTTCAACAAAGGTGCGCCAGCGGTATTCGTCGTCAGCATGGGGGATGAACAACCCACGAATGCGATCCGTGTCCAAGCCTGACACCGGGTCAACTGTCCGATGAAAGCCGAATCCACTGGCGAATATGCTTCTGCCACGCTTCACCAGTTTTGACACCACCAGCAAACGACGAATCAGTTCTGCCGACATTTCCGCAGGTACGCCTTTGATTACGATCTCCTTCGCCGTGGGGTTCAGAACGCGCTCACGCAGGAAACGTGCGTCCTCTGGGTGCTGCCAGGTGAGGTCGATGAAGTCACCATTGACGCATTCGTGACGAATAGTCTGGTTCCACACGAAGTTGGCGTCCTTAACTTGATTGAATGTAACCTGCAGGCGGCCATAACGCTCTCCGGAGAGAAACATCGGAGCGAGGTCCTGGTAAGCTGTGGTCAGCAGCGCGTCTGGCGTTAATAATTCCTTCCATTCATCCAGCATGGCAGCAACTGTTTGAGCCGCGCGCTTAACCTCCACTTTCCTGGCAATCGGCACCAACAGGGTTAGTGTGAATCGCTTTAAAGCAATAATGCTGTTAAGACAGTCCGGCTCCAGGTGATCGTCGCTGTCATCACTCAGGTAACCGTCGTCGTCGTCATCGGCAGGGGCATCCGTTGACCGCGCGTCATCATCAGCAGTGTCCTTAGCGTCCCCTTCTTCACGTGCCTCTCCTTCAGCAAGTTCACCATTGTCGTCAGTGCTTTTCTTGGTTGCATCAGCATCCTGATCATCAGCAACCTGCTGCTCGTTGAAGGCTTCGAAAGGCCCAGACGAAGGCGCTGAGGCGAGATTTAGTGGAAGCGTTCCGGTAACAGCAGGCTCCTTCAGAGGTAGGTCAGGTACGTCTGTCTCCTGAGCCATGCCAGCGTTTATCTTCGCTTTGCTGCCTTTCTTGCCTCCCATGGTGCGATGATGATACAGACTTGACAGCCCGTGCTTGGCTGATAAACAAGCTTGTCTGAGCAAAATCACCACGCCGGGCTTATATTTCTTGTGTTTGAATGCGAACCTCTGCAGGTCCAGGCCACGCGATAAGGCCGACACCCTAGCGTAGTTCTCCATGCCTTGAAAACAGGTTGTTCCCTTGAGTCTTGATCCTCGAGATATGCTTGCTTTGGTTGTACCGCTAGATGTTGTATACATTGATGACACCATGTGCTGGTGGAAGCCAAGGAGTAGCCTTGGTAACTGCCGCAGTCCATAGGATGATATCTGAGGCTGAGTTGGAGTTACGACTTGCCTGGACGATAGCCTGGAACATACAAAACAGGTGTATAGGTTCCCTTTATGAACACTAAAAAGACACCGTTGTGTAGATCTTAAAGCCGCGCATCGTCTGAAACAATCAGTGCCAACATCAGGTCTGAAATTGATGGACATTGATGGAGTTAAAGCTCTCCGCCATGGCCATGGATGATAGGATGTCATCATGGAGAGATCCTATCATTGATCTGCAATCTTTGGGGACACGGGGAAGGGATTGTTGACGTGCAGAGGCTTGGAAATCAGGGCAGATGCGAAGCAAATTTTATCCAGAGGATCATCCCTGTTTGGGGTCTGGGCATGGAAGATGACGGTCAGGTAAGGTAGGGAAGGACGGCCTCAGGATGTGTTTCAATCCCGTGTCAGACATCAAGTCATGCAGCCTTAGTCTCAAATTTGTCTCTTCTGAACTTCCAATCGCCCCAACAACGAGCCACTTCGGGTCTTCCGAACTTCCGCTTCGTGTCAAACCTAATGTCTGACACGGGATAAAACGCACCCTCATTCAAAGAAGGAATCTGGTGGACGCACATCGGCCCTCATTGGGGCTTGCTGGGTGGGGTGGGGAAGAATGGAGTGAAGTGGCTTGGGTGGAGTCAATTCTGGACCTGGAGCAGGGCTGTCGATTGGTCTGGGTCCAACCCGTAAGAAGTTGAGCTGTCTCGAAAACAGCCCTGAGCTATCCGGGAAGCGGTCGTAAAATCAGGGCATTCATATTTCCGGCTCTGAGAATGCATGCGTAATAAAGCTAAGTTATCGAGCTATACATACACTAAATAGCAGCATACGTTAGTGGAACGTGGGGGGCTGGTGTTGTTGGGAGGAGTGGGAGAGGAACAAGTTCGCGGTCAAAGGTAGGAAGAGAGGGGGGGAGGGGAAGGGGGGTGGCAGATACGGAAATCCGGGGAGCCCCAAAATCTGTCCATTAGAAATCCGGGATGGGGAAAAAACCAGCCCTGAAAATCTCCAAGCTGAGCTAAAACTAACCCTGATTTATCAGGGAAAACGGACAAATGTCCGTGAATCGACAGGCATGACCTGGAGTCAGCCCAAACCAAACAGGATTTGTGCTTGACACGAGCTTTGGGCTGGAGAGTGCGTCTGTCGGGGTCAGGTCAGGGGTGTCAAAATTCTTTGACGATTCGGAGTCCTGATTCCCGAATCACAACAGATTCCCGACAGCACGATTTGGTTTGCAGGTCCGTGCCCCCACGTGGGACTTTCAGGAGCCAATCAAGGTTGTTCTACACACGTGGAACGTGCATGCATGAATCGACAACCACTTCCTCAGCAGAGTGTGCCCCGTTGCAGTGCCATTACCACCTTATCTTAAAGTCCCGATACATATCAGACACATAAGTACACCAGTGTACCCCAGTAGGCATGCAGAGCACGCAAGTGCAATCAAAATGATGTGAAGTACGATTATTGGTAAGTGTTATAAAACTGTGTTACATGCTGTTGAAGGTCTAGGCAGTTATGTACATAGTACGTATTAATGCTAGTAAGGTTATCATTTTTCTGCTTCCGCGGAGCCATTTTCATGCTTATGTGCAGCACGCAGCGTATCGCTGACGAATGCAGCACCATCAGAACAAGGTGGTCTCCCCGTGAGCTTCTGTCTCTTGTGCATGGCCTCATCCCTCTCCACCACATTCTGAGTAATGGCATTGAGAGATCGAGAGGAACACAAAGACGGGAGGGAAGGAGGGAAAAAGAGAGTGAGAGAAGCAATGTCTCCCTGTGAGCCTCTCTCCCGTGTGCATGGCCTCATCCCTCTCCACCACATTCTGAGTAATGGCATTGAGAGATCGAGAGCAGCACAGGGAGGCGGGGCAGAGGGAAGGGAGGACAGGAGGGACATGGAAGAAGAAGGGTATGTATGTATGGGGACAACGATGGGGGCATGTGCATGCTACCAGTAACCAGTATGTTGGGGAGGCCGCTTTTGAGTCAACTCAAAGGCAGACAAAGATGGGGGCATGCGCATGCTACCAGTAACCAGCATGTTGGGGAGGGAGTGCGAGTGAGAGAGTCAAAACCTGGGCCAAAAAAAGGAGACAGACAACCCCTACGCTATGCAGTCCAGTTTGTACTTGTTACAAGCTTCCTCAAAAGACGAACGTGGCCATCCTGTCACTCCTGCGGGGTCGAGCCTATTAATGGTGACAACATGGCGTGAAAGGCTCACTTTGTACTCGTCGGGTTCATGCTCGAAATACCGCTGTTGCCACTCAGCACTGCTCTCACCTGTGCGGGTGTCAACATGTGTAAGACAGCCACATGCCTCGAGAGGTTGACTTGGCATGCGAGGCGCTGGGAGCAGCCTGGGAGTATTTGCACTCACTCTAACGCTCCCCAACACACCACACAGTCACCACTGCGCTCACCTGTGCGGGCGTTAGCATGTGCATGGCTGCCACGTGGCGTGAGAAGTTCACTTTGTATGCGAAGCGCTGGGAGCAGCCAGGGAGTATGGCTGCAATCAGCACTAGCACGGGCTCTCAACTGTGCGGGTGTGAGCGCGTGAATGGCGGCCACGTGGCGTGAGAGGTTGACTTTGTATGCCAAGCGCTGGGAGCAGCCTGGGAGTTGAAAGCTCCTATGCACATACCACATTCAGCACTGCTCTCACTCTCACCTGTGCGGGTGTCATCTCGTGTATGGCTGCAATATGCCGCGAGAGGTTGGCTTTGTATGCGAAGCGCTGGGAGCAGCCATGGACGGAGCAGGCAAACGGGCGATCTTTCTGATGGCATGCCCTGATGTGCGTCCTTAGGTTGCTGGGCTGCTCTGAGGAGGAGGGGGAGGAGGAAAAGGCAAAGGGAGATTAGGGAGAGGTTGACCTTGTATGCAAAGCGTTGGAAGCAGCCTGGGACGGAGCAGGCAAAGGGGCGATCCTTCTGATGGCACGCCCTGATGTGCGTCCTCAGGTTGCTGGGCTTCTCTGCAAAGGAGGTGGGGAGGGGAAAGGGAGAGTAGGAAGAGGGCCATGGATTAAGTGAGCTTGTAAGAGGCCGGTCCTTCTGATGGCACGCCCTGATGTGCGTCCTCAGGTTGCTGGGCTTCTCTGCAAAGGAGGTGGGGAGGGGAAAGGGAGAGTAGGAAGAGGGCCATGGATTAAGTGAGCTTGTAAGAGGCCGGTCCTTCTGATGGCACGCCCTGATGTGCGTCCTCAGGTTGCTGGGCTTCTCTGCAAAGGAGGTGGGGAGGGGAAAGGGAGAGTAGGAAGAGGGCCATGGATTAAGTGAGCTTGTAAGAGGCCGGTCCTTCTGATGGCACGCCCTGATGTGCGTCCTCAGGTTGCTGGGCTTCTCTGCAAAGGAGGTGGGGAGGGGAAAGGGAGAGTAGGAAGAGGGCCATGGATTAAGTGAGCTTGTAAGAGGCCGGTCCTTCTGATGGCACGCCCTGATGTGCGTCCTCAGGTTGCTGGGCTTCTCTGCAAAGGAGGTGGGGAGGGGAAAGGGAGAGTAGGAAGAGGGCCATGGATTAAGTGAGCTTGTAAGAGGCCGGTCCTTCTGATGGCACGCCCTGATGTGCGTCCTCAGGTTGCTGGGCTTCTCTGCAAAGGAGGTGGGGAGGGGAAAGGGAGAGTAGGAAGAGGGCCATGGATTAAGTGAGCTTGTAAGAGGCCGGTCCTTCTGATGGCACGCCCTGATGTGCGTCCTCAGGTTGCTGGGCTTCTCTGCAAAGGAGGTGGGGAGGGGAAAGGGAGAGTAGGAAGAGGGCCATGGATTAAGTGAGCTTGTAAGAGGCCGGTCCTTCTGATGGCACGCCCTGATGTGCGTCCTCAGGTTGCTGGGCTTCTCTGCAAAGGAGGTGGGGAGGGGAAAGGGAGAGTAGGAAGAGGGCCATGGATTAAGTGAGCTTGTAAGAGGCCGGTCCTTCTGATGGCACGCCCTGATGTGCGTCCTCAGGTTGCTGGGCTTCTCTGCAAAGGAGGTGGGGAGGGGAAAGGGAGAGTAGGAAGAGGGCCATGGATTAAGTGAGCTTGTAAGAGGCCGGTCCTTCTGATGGCACGCCCTGATGTGCGTCCTCAGGTTGCTGGGCTTCTCTGCAAAGGAGGTGGGGAGGGGAAAGGGAGAGTAGGAAGAGGGCCATGGATTAAGTGAGCTTGTAAGAGGCCGGTCCTTCTGATGGCACGCCCTGATGTGCGTCCTCAGGTTGCTGGGCTTCTCTGCAAAGGAGGTGGGGAGGGGAAAGGGAGAGTAGGAAGAGGGCCATGGATTAAGTGAGCTTGTAAGAGGCCGGTCCTTCTGATGGCACGCCCTGATGTGCGTCCTCAGGTTGCTGGGCTTCTCTGCAAAGGAGGTGGGGAGGGGAAAGGGAGAGTAGGAAGAGGGCCATGGATTAAGTGAGCTTGTAAGAGGCCGGTCCTTCTGATGGCACGCCCTGATGTGCGTCCTCAGGTTGCTGGGCTTCTCTGCAAAGGAGGTGGGGAGGGGAAAGGGAGAGTAGGAAGAGGGCCATGGATTAAGTGAGCTTGTAAGAGGCCGGTCCTTCTGATGGCACGCCCTGATGTGCGTCCTCAGGTTGCTGGGCTTCTCTGCAAAGGAGGTGGGGAGGGGAAAGGGAGAGTAGGAAGAGGGCCATGGATTAAGTGAGCTTGTAAGAGGCCGGTCCTTCTGATGGCACGCCCTGATGTGCGTCCTCAGGTTGCTGGGCTTCTCTGCAAAGGAGGTGGGGAGGGGAAAGGGAGAGTAGGAAGAGGGCCATGGATTAAGTGAGCTTGTAAGAGGCCGGTCCTTCTGATGGCACGCCCTGATGTGCGTCCTCAGGTTGCTGGGCTTCTCTGCAAAGGAGGTGGGGAGGGGAAAGGGAGAGTAGGAAGAGGGCCATGGATTAAGTGAGCTTGTAAGAGGCCGGTCCTTCTGATGGCACGCCCTGATGTGCGTCCTCAGGTTGCTGGGCTTCTCTGCAAAGGAGGTGGGGAGGGGAAAGGGAGAGTAGGAAGAGGGCCATGGATTAAGTGAGCTTGTAAGAGGCCGGTCCTTCTGATGGCACGCCCTGATGTGCGTCCTCAGGTTGCTGGGCTTCTCTGCAAAGGAGGTGGGGAGGGGAAAGGGAGAGTAGGAAGAGGGCCATGGATTAAGTGAGCTTGTAAGAGGCCGGTCCTTCTGATGGCACGCCCTGATGTGCGTCCTCAGGTTGCTGGGCTTCTCTGCAAAGGAGGTGGGGAGGGGAAAGGGAGAGTAGGAAGAGGGCCATGGATTAAGTGAGCTTGTAAGAGGCCGGTCCTTCTGATGGCACGCCCTGATGTGCGTCCTCAGGTTGCTGGGCTTCTCTGCAAAGGAGGTGGGGAGGGGAAAGGGAGAGTAGGAAGAGGGCCATGGATTAAGTGAGCTTGTAAGAGGCCGGTCCTTCTGATGGCACGCCCTGATGTGCGTCCTCAGGTTGCTGGGCTTCTCTGCAAAGGAGGTGGGGAGGGGAAAGGGAGAGTAGGAAGAGGGCCATGGATTAAGTGAGCTTGTAAGAGGCCGGTCCTTCTGATGGCACGCCCTGATGTGCGTCCTCAGGTTGCTGGGCTTCTCTGCAAAGGAGGTGGGGAGGGGAAAGGGAGAGTAGGAAGAGGGCCATGGATTAACTGAGCTTGTAAGAGGCCGGTCCTTCTGATGGCACGCCCTGATGTGCGTCCTCAGGTTGCTGGGCTTCTCTGAGGGGGAAGGTGGAGAGGAGGAAGAGGGAGAGGACCGGAAAAGGGAGAGTAGGGAGAGGTTGACTTAGAATGTAGACTGCTGGGAGCAGTGGAATGGTTTTTTAGTCGCCCAAAAAACCTCCTAATATGCGTGAGAAGCAACTGTCCGCAGGGGGAAAAACAACATACACAGCAACAGCAGTGGAGAGAGGGACTCACCAAGCTAAACATCTTGCAGCACCCATCCACCTGGCACGGGTGGGATGGACGATGCTCCACCTCATGCTCCTTCAAATGGCGCTTGAAGCGCGAGAAAGAGATGCGCTTGTTGCACAGCGGGCACGGCACGGAGCGGCAGGGAGAGGGATGACTCACCGAGCTGAAAGACTTGCTGCACCCATCCACCTTGCATGGGTGGGACGAAGGTTGCTCCTTCAACTCATGCTCCTTGAGGTGGCACTTGAAGCGCGAGAAAGAGATGCGCTTGTTGCACTGCGGGCAGGTTAGGGCAGCGAAGCAGCAATGGGGAGAGGGGACTCACCGAGCTGAATGCTTTGTTGCACCCATCCACCTTGCACGGATGAGAAGAACGGTTTCCCACCTCATGCTGCTCCTTGAGGTGGCGTTTGAAGCGAGAGAACGAGATGCGCTTGTTGCAGTGCGGGCAGGGCACGGAGCGGTGCTGCTGCTGTGTGTGTTGCTCCAAGGCAGAGAGGGACGGGAAGGCAGCAAAGCAGAAGCCACATATGGCCCCATCTGCTCCCTCTGCTGCGCCATCCGTGCCCTCCCCTGCTGCTGCTGCTGCTGCTGCTGCTGCAGCTGTACTTTCTGCTGCTGCATCCCCGTCACTTGATGCTGATGTGTCGCCCTCTCCTTCGCTCCCTCTCGAATCTCCTTCCCCTTCTGCGTGCCTTGCCTCAGTGCCTTCACATGGTCCCTTCCTTGACTTGCCATCTCGTTCCTCAGTGCCTTCACATGGTCCCTTCCTTGACTTGCCATCTCGTTCCTCAGTGCCTTCACATGGTCCCTTCCTTGACTTGCCATCTCGTTCCTCAGTGCCTTCACATGGTCCCTTCCTTGACTTGCCATCTCGTTCCTCAGTGCCTTCACATGGTCCCTTCCTTGACTTGCCATCTCGTTCCTCAGTGCCTTCACATGGTCCCTTCCTTGACTTGCCATCTCGTTCCTCAGTGCCTTCACATGGTCCCTTCCTTGACTTGCCATCTCGTTCCTCAGTGCCTTCACATGGTCCCTTCCTTGACTTGCCATCTCGTTCCTCAGTGCCTTCACATGGTCCCTTCCTTGACTTGCCATCTCGTTCCTCAGTGCCTTCACATGGTCCCTTCCTTGACTTGCCATCTCGTTCCTCAGTGCCTTCACATGGTCCCTTCCTTGACTTGCCATCTCGTTCCTCAGTGCCTTCACATGGTCCCTTCCTTGACTTGCCATCTCGTTCCTCAGTGCCTTCACATGGTCCCTTCCTTGACTTGCCATCTCGTTCCTCAGTGCCTTCACATGGTCCCTTCCTTGACTTGCCATCTCGTTCCTCAGTGCCTTCACATGGTCCCTTCCTTGACGTGCCATCTCGTTCCTCAGTGCCTTCACATGGTCCCTTCCTTGACTTGCCATCTCGTTCCTCAGTGCCTTCACATGGTCCCTTCCTTGACTTGCCATCTCGTTCCTGACACTTTACCAGCTTTCCTGCCGCCATCTCCTTGCTTCTCACCACATGCTTATCTCTCACCACGTCCTTATCACACCACCTCCTTCGCTTCCAGCTCATCATCCCAGCCTGCTTGTACTTCCTTACCCCCTCTGACGCCACTTCTGATGCCATTGCTCCTTTGCCAACCTCCACCTTCCCCTGACCCGCTCCCCTTCCCTCCTCTCCTCGCATCAACTTTTGAGGCGCCTCACAACCACCCCCTGACGCCACAGCTCCTGTAACAACCGCCACTTCTGATGCCATTGCTCCTTTGCCAACCTCCACCTTCCCCTCACCCCCTCCCCCTCCTTCTCCTCGCATCGCCACCTCCACTTCCCTCACGCCTTCCCTTATCCTCCCATCAGCACCCTCACCAGCCACACCACCAGCCACACAACCAGTCCCCCCACCGCCCACACTCGTACCAACGGTCGCCATTGCATCGGCATCGGTTGCCACCTCATCAACAGCTTCTGCCACATCACCATCAGCTGCTGTAATATCACCATCGCCACCTGCCACATCACAAACAGCCACTTCTGCATCACCATCAGTTGCTGCCACATCAGCACGAGCTGCCACGTGAGCATCAGCTGCCGCCACACCACCACCAGTCGTCCCCACAGCAGCACCAGAGCTTAAGCATACTGCATCTTGCAGCAATAGCAACCCATTCCCCCCCACGTGCTTCCCCCTCAGGTGCCCCCTCAAATGTCCTCCCAGGTGCTCTTCCCCCAGGTGCTCCCCGCTCAGGTGTTCCCCCAGGTGCTGCTCTTGCCTTGCTAATTGCTCCTCTCGTTGCCTCAGATCCTCGTTCTGTTGTTTCAGGTGCTCCCTCTGTTGTCTCAGGTGCTCCTGCTGCCGCCTCAGATAATCCTCCTCCTCCTTTAGGAGAATCTCCTTCCTCCTCAAGTGCTCCTTTATTGCCCTCAGCTGTTCCTTCTGTTGGTTCAGGTGATTTTTCATCTCCATACCAGGCTGCTCCTTCTCCTTCAGGTGCTTCTCCAGGCGATCCTCACCAACCTCCAGGGGTTTCTTCAGGTGCTGCTTCTGTTGCTGCAGGTGGCCCTGCATCCCTTGCACCGCCCCTTCTCTCCCATTGGTCGCAAGGATCTCTCTGTTATCCTCCACGTCAGCAGATTCTTGCCTGTCTGCTTCAGCAGCATCAAACAATTCAGCATCACACATTTGAGTGTCAAACCGCTTCTCACCACTCCCCATCACACTCAAACCCTTTCCAGCCCCTTCATCACCCCTTCTCTCCTCCTGCTCGCCTTCTCTCTTCTGATTTCCCCCTCCTCTCCTTTCCCCCTCTGCTGCGATCCTCTCCTCCTCACCTCCTCTCTTCTCGTCTCCACCTCTCTTTTCCTCCTCCCTCTCCTCCTCCCCTCCTCTCCCCTCGTCTCCACCTCTCCTTTCCTCCTCCCTCTCCCCCTCCCTTGCTTTCCTCTCCTCCCTTCCTCTCTGCTCCTCCTCCCCTCCTCTCCGCTCCTCATTCCCAGCTATCCCCTCCTTCCCCCCTCCTCCAATCCCTCCTGTTGCTTCTGTTGTCTTCTCGCATTCCTTCTCTTGTGTTTTCTCCTGCGCTTCCTCCTGCGTTTTCTCCTTCGGTTTCTCCTGTATTATTTCCTGTGCTTTCTGCATTTTCTCCTGTGCTTCCTGTGTCTTCCCCTGTGCTTTCTCCTCTGTTTTCTGCTGTCCCTTCTGCTGTCTTCTCTCCTGGACCCCCTCCTTCTCCTGAACCTTATGCTCCGCACCCCCTCCCTTACTCTCTCTCTTCACCCTACACAACCGATCACCAATCCCCCCCTCCTCCTCCTGCTTCGCCTTGATCTCTCTATTTACCCTATCCAGCCGGTCCCGGATGCCCTCCTCCTCCCAGTGCTGCTCCCTCACGTGCCGCTGCATGCTGGCATGCAGGCTGAACGTCTTGGTGCACTGCGGGTGCGGACAGGGAAACTGGTAGGGTGGGGATGTAGGGGTTGCGCAGATGGAGGGAGGCAAGAGAATCAGGAGAACATCAACCTCCCTCCCGTGCCGTTGCTGCTTCGCCTTGATCTCTCGGTTGATTCGATCAAGCCGGTCTCGAATGCCCTCCTCCTCCCAGTGCTGCTCCCTCACGCGCCGCTGCATGCTGGCGTGTAGGCTGAACGTCTTGGTGCACTGCGGGTGCGGACAGGGAAACTGGTAGGGTGGGGATGTAGGGGTTGCACAGATGGAGGGAGGCAAGAGAATCAGGAGAACATCAACCTCCCTCCCGTGCCGTTGCTGCTTCGCCTTGATCTCTCTGTTGATTCGATCAAGCCGGTCTCTTAAACCTTCCTCCTCCCAGTGCTGTTCCCTCACGTGCCTCTGCATGCTGGCGTGCAGGCTGAACGTCTTGGCGCACTGCGGGTGTGGGCAGGGGAACGGGTGGGGTGGGATGCAGAGGAAGGAGAGGATCGGGAGTGGAGATTGTATAAGTGAACACCCTCAAGTGTCGCAGCATGTCTTATGATGCGATCACTGGCCCGGTCAGGGGCATGGGATGGGAAGCTGCATGTGGCGCTGCAGGTGGTACTTCCTTCCTCCTGAATGACGTGAGCCGACTCATATGATTAGGATGGCGTTGGTAGCATGGAAAAGGGAGGAACTTACCTGGTCGAGGGCATGGGATGGGAGGCTGCATGTGGCGCTGCAGGTGGTACTTCCTTCCTCCTGAACAATGAGACTTGTGAGTCAACTCATATGATTAGGATGGCGTTGGTAGCATGGAAAGGGGAGGAACTTACCTGGTCAGGGGCATGGGATGGGAAGCTGCATGTGGTAGTTCCTTCTTCCTGAATGATGAGACTTGTGAGTCGACTCATATGATTGGGTTGGCATCACTAGCACGGAAAGGGAGGGACTCACCCGGTCGGGAGCATGCGACTGCATGTGGCGCTGCAGGTGGTACTTCCTCCCGAACGCTCTTCTGCAGTCCTCGTGTGGGCACACAAACGACTTCTGCTGTAAGGCAATTGGTGGGGTGGGGTAGCAGGGAGTGGTAGGAAGGCGAGCGAGGGAGGGTGAAGAACCGGAGTGATTGAGTGGGTGAGTGAGTGAGGCCTTCCTAGTCCTCCTCATGCGGCCAAAGCCAGCGGACTGAGGGTGTTTTTGAGAATTCTCAAAAACACCCTGCAGCATCACGGACAAAGCCAGCGGACTGAGCATCAACCCCCCTGGAGGGAGTGAACGGCCAAGTGCTGCCTCACATACGATGGCCGGGTGGGTGAGAAACCTTTGGACATTTTACCTAAGCGCCGCTACTCACTGGAAAATGTCCGAAGATCTGCTAACACTTACGCTTTCTCCAGTATGGCCAAGTGCTGCCTCACATACGATGGCCGGGTGGGTGAGAAACCTAGCATGAGTGCAGGTAAGTGAGTGAGTGTGAGTGAGTGTGAGTGAGTGTGAGTGAGGAGAGTAAGAGCAGCCCACCTGGTTCGCGTGGGTGGCCATGTGTTGTCGCACATATGCCGGTCGAGTGAACGCCATGCCGCACTGCCCACACTCATACCGCTTCTCCTTCGCCTTACACCTCCTTCCCCCCTTGCCCTGCTCCACTTCCTCCTCCTCACTCTCCTCCTCCTCTCCCAAATCCTCCTCTTCCTCTTTCTCCTCTTCTTTCTGGTACTTTGACCTCTTTCTCGCCTCCTTCTCCTTTTCTCCCCCCTGCCTCTCCTTGCGCTTCCTCTTATTCCTCTTGCTCCTGTCCTCCTGTATATCTTCTACCTTTATCTCTTCCACCTCCTCCTCCTCATCCTCATCCTCCTTACCCTCATCATTCCCCTCATTCTCCCTCTCCTCGTGCTTACTCCGCTTTTGTCCCCTCTTTCTGCCCTTCACCTCTTCTTCCCCCACCTTCTTCTCCTCCTCCTTCTCCCCCCCCTCCACCATTTCAATCTCCTCCACCTCTTCACCCTCTTCCTCCTCCCTCTCCCCTCCGTCCTCTCCCTCCTCCTCCTCCTCATGTGCCCTCGCCTTCTCTTCTCCTCTCCGACTCCTCTTTCCCTCCCTTTCTCTCTTCGTTACCTTCCCCTTCTCCCTTCCACTCCCGCCTTTCTCTCCCACTCGCCCTCTTCTCACTTCACCAGCCACTCGCCTTCCCCTTCTCTCTTCAACATCCCTTCCCTCACCATCCCTCCCCCGAACATTCCCCTCCACTATCTCACACTCCTCAACGTCACACTCCCCCCAATCACGCCCCATACCCTCGCCTTCCCTCGCCTCTCTACCATCACCCACCTCCCCTCCTCCTTTACCGCCCTTTCCCTCTCCCTTTCCCATCACTGTCACTTCCACCACATCGTCATCCTCTCTCGCCTCACTAATTTCATTCTCCTTATCATTCTCATTCTGCCCATTCTTCTCTCTGCCGCCACCACACTCCACACCCTGCCCCTCATCCCCCACTCCATGTCTCTCCCGTTCCTCCTGCTCCCTCCCTTCGCCCCCCTCCCTCTCCCCTCCAACCTCCCTCACTCCCCTCCCTTCGCCCCCATCCGTCTCCCCTCCAACCTCCCTCACTCCCCTCCCTTCCTTCCCCTCCCTCTCCCCTCCAACCTCTCTCACACCCCGCCCTTCAATAACTTCCTTCTCATCTTCCCCCTCCTCTTGCCTCCCCTCCCCTCGCCCCTCCTTTTGTCCTCCCTCCTCTCTCTCCTCCTCCTGCCTCCCCTCCTCCTCTCTCCCCTCCTCATCTCGCCTCTCCACCTCTCTCCTCTCATTCCCTGTACTCACCTCCTTCCTCTCCATCCCCTCTTCCCCCACCTCCCCTTCCCCCACCTCATCCCCCTCTTCTTCACCTACCTTTCCGCCAACCTCTCCCCCTACACCTCCCCCCACCGTCCCCTCTCCATCTCCCCCTACCTCCGCCTGCCCCACAACCTCCCCTACCTCCTCCCCCACATCCTCCCCCACCTCCTCCCCCGTATCTTCCCCCTCCTCCCCTCCCCCCTCTCCCACCATCCCCACGCCAGACCACAGCATATATTGCTCCAGTGGGTCTATATACCCGCCCAGGGGGTCCGCGTTGTCTTCCAAACCATCCGCGTACCCATCTAAGGGACCTATACCAGCAGCATTCAAGTGATTCAATGAAGTTTCATCGACTGCTTCTGCTGCTTTTTCCGCCTCTCCTCCTGGTCGACCTTCTCGTGCCTTTCCTGCTGTGGCCGAGCCCCTCTTATCTGCTTCTCCTCCACTATTAGCCTCTTTGCACCCCTCGCAATCCCTGCACCTATTTCTCTCTGTACACTTTTCGCAGCTGATACGGTTCGTTGTTGCTTTCTCATGTGCTGCTTTGTCGTTCTCCTGCTCCTTTCCCCGCTGCTTCCCGTTGCTGCTGCTGATCCTTTTCCGTCCTTCTCTTCCCTCACTCTCCCCCTCCTCCTTCTCCTGCTCCTCTTCCCCATCTCCTTCCCCCTCTTCTTCCCCCTCCTCCTCTTCCCTCTCCTCCTCGTCCTCCTCCTCCTCCCATTCCCCTTCCTCCTCCCACTCCTCGCCCCATCCTCCCTCCTCTTCCCCTCTTTCCACATCCCCTCCCCCTCCCCTCCTCATCCCCGTTATAGACCATCCTATGTACTCCGCTACAGGGTCAACCCATCCATCTACATCCCCTCTTGACGCATCCTCCTCATTCCCTTGCATATCAACACGCCCCTTTGCTGCTGTTGCCCTTTCTTCTGTCGCTGTTGCTGCTGCTGCTGCTGCTGCCGCTGCTGCTGCTGCTCCCTCTGCTCGTCTCGCCTCTCTCCCCTCCGCTTTCCCCTCTGCGCGTTTCCCCCCCAGCGCCTCAGCTATTCCCTCCGCCAAACCGTCTATAAGCCCCTCCGCTATTCCCTCCGTCACTCCCTCTCCTACCCCACCCACACCCCCACCCGTGGCACCAACCATGCCCGCACTTGTGCGCGCATCTCCCTTCTTCCCCCCTGCGCTTAGCCCCTTCAACCCTCCGCCCTGCGCCTTTTCCCCCCCGCTTGTCCCCCCCCATTTCTTTTCCCCTCCCGCTCCGTTCCGTTCCCCTTCTCCGCCTCCCTTCCCCCCTGCTTGCCCCCCTTCGCTTCTCCCTCTCCCCTTTTTCTCTCCTCTAACCCTAATCGTAGCCTCATTTCCCTTTACCTCCCCTTTCATCTCGCAATCGCTTTTTCTGACCGGCCCAGAACTTTTCCTCCCTGCCCGCGGGGACCGTTCGTCCTCGACTGACGTCATGCTGTCGTCATCCGACAATTCGTCCTCGTTACTCACGACAAATCCCTTGCTGCTGCAAATGGAACCTTCTGAGCTGCTTCGGGAGCTGCTGCTGCCGCTGCTACTGCTGTTATCACTGCCATTAGTCGCGAGAGCCTTCCCGACATTTCCATCCTTAATCAACGCGCTGTTCCTTCCGCCGGATTCCGCATTAATTCTACCGCCGGCTTCCGCGCTGGTCCTTCCGCATGCATCCGCTCCGCTAGCCTGCGCCAGTCGCGTCGACCTCCGCGTGCTCCGCTGCGGAACCGAACCGCCCACTTCATCTTCCGCGGATGGCATTTCCGCATATAGCGGTGCTGCACGCGCGACCTAAGTGTGTCTGCGCTGCACGCGCGACCTAGCTGTGCCTGCGCTGCACGCACAACCTATTTCTGCCCATGCCTACGTGTGCTGTCCGCGCACAAGTCCGCTGCTGGGGAAGCAGACTGAGTCGAGTTGGTGCTGTTCGGTTGCTCGAGTTTGCAGATACGCTACAGCTTACAGACATACACAAAACCTTCTAACCAACATGGTACAGTTATATGTTGGAAGTGAGAATGCTTTTATCTTTCTAAACTTTTAACTCTAGCATGTCTTGACCTTCCTTCCACCCACGAGTCACTTCGAAAAAAATATACATTATGGTAACCCCCTTATACTATATTTCCTCTTTGCTCTTGTGATGGAAGACATTGGAAAACGATTCAGGCTCGAATTCCATCAGGTGCGGAAGACAAAGCGAAAGTCTACCTTGACTTTCAAGAGCGAAATTAACCAGACTCAGAAAGGTCTTCACTAGAAAAGGAATCAATTCCGGCACAAAATCCTGGAATGGGAGCATCCATTGGCAGTGAATTTTTAGTCCGCACATGCATCGAGGGTTTTCTCCCTGGGACCAACTCCCCGATAATCCTGCCCCGTCCTCTAAAACTATACTCGTCTCTTCTCCATCCCCTCCATCTTCACCACGCCCCCTCCTCTCCCTTCATCCTCCACCATCCTCCCTCCCTCCCCACCCTCACCCCACCCCCTCTTCTCAAACACAAGGACCTACAGAGCCGTCATTTAGGCGAGCCTTCTGAATCCGAGTGTGCCTCCCCTGAAGGCCCAGGTGCCTCTTGCGCTTCAGGAGTTTTTCCTGATCGTTGAGGTGCTCGCGCTGCTGCTTTAAGTGCTCGTCATGCTGCCGCAGGAGCTCCTCCTCCTGCCTCCCGTGCATCTCCTGCCGCTCTTTCTGTTCCTCCAGGAGCACCTCTTTCCGTTTCAGATACAGCACCTCCTGCTCCTGCTGTTCCCTCAGGAGCAACTCTTTCTGCTTCAAGTGTGTCTCTTGTTGCTCCTTTTGTTCCCTCAGGAGCAGCTCTTTCTGTTTCAGGTAGAAATCCTGCTGCTCATTCTGTTGGTCCAGAAAGCGCTCTTTCTTCCGCAGGTGTTCCTCCTGTTGCTTTAAGTGTACTGCCTGCTGCCTCAGGTGAGCCTCCTCCTCCTTCAGGAGAATGTCCTCCTGCCTCAGGTGCTCCTTCTCTGTTGCCTTCAGGTGCTTCCTCAGGTTGCATCGGCGGACTCTCCTCCCCACAAAATGATGCACCTTCCTATTCAGGTACCTCTTCTGCTCCCTCAGGTGGCCTTTCAGGTGCCTTTTCCTGCAGCCAGCCCCTTTTGAGTCGACTCAAAAGTCTTTCAGGTGCCTTTTCCTGCAGCCAGCCCCTTCCCTCTCAACACCTCCTCCTCCATGCATTTTCCTTTTGCGCCCCTCCTGCAAGCATGTGAACTCCTCTAGTTCAGCTGCATCTTCCTCCTTCTCTCCCTCACACTCATTCACCCCCCAACTCCCCACATTGACATCCCCCCTGGGACAGAGGGGAGAGGGTTCTCCCTCCCCCTCTCCCTCCCCCTCTCCCTCCCCCTCTCCCTCCTCTTCTCCCTCTCCTTCTCCCTCCTCTTCTTCTTCTTCTTCTTCCTCTTGTTCTCCCTCCTCTTCCCTCTTCTCTTCTCCCTCCCTCCTCCCTCCTCCACCAACGTTGCCCTCCCCTCGCACCGGCACCACTGCCTTCCCCAAACTACCCTCATTCCCACCAAGGGGTACCTCTACTCCTTCCGCTGTCCCCCTCACCATCGATGCCCTTCCCATGAAGCGGCATCGCTAGCCTTCTTATGCTGCCCGTATAGCCTAGTAACGATGGATTTCCTTCCTCCTCTTTCCCCCTCTCTCCTCCAACCGCGTTGCCCTCCCTTTGCACCTGTTGCTTCGCTGCATCGCGCTGCATCGCTGCCATTCCCATGGTGTTTCGCTCCTCTGCAGCCAAGGATTGGGTTCTTGCTCTCTTCTCTGTCCCCAACCCTCCTCCGACCGCGTTGCCTTCTCCTTGAACCTGCATCGTTTCCCTTCCCATGCCGCCCTCCCCTGAAGGAAGAAAAAGGGGTGTTTCCTCCTCGCCATCCCTCTCCTCCCCTCTTCTCCCCTTTCCTTCCGTCTCCTCGCCTCTCCTTCCATCTCTCCCTATCACAACACTCGTTTTCTTCTCACATTCCTGCCTAAGAACCTCTTCCCTCCTCTCCTCCTCCCTCCTCACGGCTTCCTTCCTCTCCTCCTCCCTCCTCGCGGCTTCCTTACTCTCATCCTCCCTCCTCGCCGCTTCCTTCCTCTCCTCCTCCCTCCTCGCGACTTGCTTCCTCTCCTCCTCCCTTCTTTCCGCTTCCTTCCTCTCCTCCTCCCTCCTCGCTGCTTCCTTCCTCTCCTCCTCCCTCCTCGCAGCTTCCTTCCTCTCCTCCTCCCTCCTCGCGGCTTCCTTCCTCTCCTCCTCCCTTCTTGCCGCTTCCTTCCTCTCCTCCTCCCTCCTCGCCGCTTCCTTCCTCACCTCCTCCCTCCTCGCGGCTTGCTTCCTCTCCTCCTCCCTTCTTGCCGCTTCCTTCCTCTCCTCCTCCCTCCTCTTCCTCTCCTCCTCCCTCCTCGCCGCTTCCTTCCTCTCCTCCTCCCTCCTCGCCGCTTCTTTCCTCTCCTCCTCCCTTCTTGCCGCTTCCTTCCTCTCCTCCTCCCTCCTCGCTGCTTCCTTCCTCTCCTCCTCCCTCCTCGCGGCTTCCTTCCTCTCCTCCTCCCTCCTCGCCGCTTCCTTCCTCTCCTCCTCCCTTCTTGCCGCTTCCTTCCTCTCCTCCTCCTCCCTCCTCTTCATCTCCTCCTCCCTCCTTGCCGCTTCTTTCCTCTCCTCCTCCCTCCTCGCGGCTTGCTTCCTCTACTCCTCCCTTATTGCCGCTTCCTTCCTCTCCTCCTCCCTCCTCGCTGCTTGCTTCCTCTCCTCCTCCCTCCTCGCCTCTTCCCTCCTTTCCTCTCCCCTCCTTTTCTCCTCCCTCCTCGCCTTTTCCTTTCTCGCCTTTTCTCTCCTCGCCGCTTCCCTCCTCTCCTCCTCCTTCCTCTCCTCCTCCCTCCTCGCAGCTTGCTTCCTCTCCTCCTCCCTCCTCTCTGCTTCCTTCCTCTCCTCCTCCCTCCTCGCTGCTTGCTTCCTCTCCTCCTCCCTCCTTGCCTCTTCCCTCCTTTCCTCTCCCCTCCTTTTCTCCTCCCTCCTCGCCTTTTCCTTTCTCGCCTTTTCTCTCCTCACCGCTTCCCTCCTCTCCTCCTCCTTCCTCTCCTCCTCCCTCCTCGCCGTTTCCTTCCTCTCCTCCTCCCTCCTCACCGCTTCCTTCCTCTCCTCCTCCCTTCTTGCCGCTTCCTTCCTCTCCTCCTCCCTCCTCTCCGCTTCCCTCCTCTCCCACACCCTCCTCGCCGCTCCCTTCCACCACTCCTCCCTCCTCGCTTCTTCCCTCCTCTCCTCTCCCCTCCTTTCCTCCTCTTCCCTCTCCTTCCCTCTCACTGCCTCTTCTTCCCTCTCCTCCCTAACCACCAGTCCTTCGTGCACCCTCATCCCCTTGTCCCCCTCATGTGCCCTCTTTACCCCCGCCTCACTCCCCTCCGCTCCGCCACGCACACCAAGTACCCTGCTCCCACTTCCCCCCTCTTTCTTGTGTTGCGTCCTTGCATGCTTTAACATGCTGCGTTGATTCTTGAAGGCTTGAGAGCAGTGGGGATGAGAGCATGGGAGCTGGTGATTGGGGAGGGGAGGGCGGGGAAGCGAACAGGCAGAGGAGAATCAAGTTACACCAATTGGATTGTAACGCTGTTTCCGTGGATGATACACCATATCATCTCGGCACTTGAAGGTGCAAGGGCAGTGGAGATGAGAGCATTGGTGCTGATGTTTGCGGGGAAGGGGGGGGGGGGGGTGGGGGTGTGGGGGAAGAAAACAGGTAGCAGAGAAACAAGTCGCGGAAAAACAGGGTGCCAGTTAAGGAGGAAGGGAGAACCGGGACAAGAAGCGGAGGCGGAGGGGAAGAGAGCGAGGGTAGCTTACCCGGGGAGGAGCATTGGGGTTGTGAGTAAGAATGTGCTCCTTCAACAGGTGGTTGGATGAGAATGCCTTTTGGCAGTTTTCATGCGGACACACGAACTGATGCAGTGGAGGGGGCAATAAGGGATGGAAGAGGAAAAGGTAATGAGAGAAGTGAACAGCAGGGACGAGAAAGGGTAAAGATAGGAAAGAGAGAATGTCGAATCGGATAGGGGCAGCGGAAATGGAAACGAGGGAAGAGGCAAGGATGATGAGGGAAAGGGAAAACGGGGGGCGGGGGTGTGGGGGGTGGGGAAGCAGGCAAGGGGGAAAGGGGAGGGTGGGGGACAGAGGGAGCGAAGAGAGCTCACTTGGCAAGCATCGGGGTTGTGATGAAGGCGAAGGTGCCTCTGTAGCTGGTAGTTGAATGCGAATGCCCTTTCGCAATTATCATGCGGACACAAAATCTGCAGTGAGAGAGGCAGTACGAGGGGGAGGGGGGAAGGGGAGGAGAGAACAACGGATACTTAAGGCTACGTTTTGAGTCGATTAGAAAACGATGATGGAATGAAGGGAAACGGATAGAGGCACCTGAGACGTGCGGCTGTGAAGTGTGAGAGTGAGGGAGTGAATGAGTGAGCGGTGGAGTGAAGGAGGGAGGGAGCAAGGGAGGGAGCGAGGGAGGGAGGGAGGGAGGGAGGGAGGGAGGGAAGAGGGGAGGGAGGGAGGGAGGGAGGGAGGGAGGGAGGGAGGGAGGGAGGGAGTGGGGAAGGGAGCAAGTGAGTGAGTGAGCAAGGGAGTGAGAGGGAGTGAGTGAGTCAGCGAGTGAGTGAGTGAGTGAATGAGCAAGCGAGCGAGTGAGCGAGTGAATGAGTGAGTGAGTGAATGAGTGAGTGAGTGAGTGAGTGAGGGAGTTCTCAGGATCGTAAACACCTTAGTCGGCAATAGTCTACTTGCTATCGCGTATTGTGTTCTCCACGATCTCCCGAATCCAATGATATGCGCAGCTCTGCTTGAAGTTGTCAATACACACTTCAGCAATTTTCAGAATCTGATTGGTATATTTTCCCGAATGAGTACAAGCAGTTTTATAGTCAGGCAAGACACAAAATGCGATTTGTAACTTCACTTGTTTCCCAAGTAACCACGTGCGCCTCGTTTCACCCCGAGTCGCACACGCAACCGAACCGAATTCGGTGAACACTCCGCAAGTCTGAATCCCGAACTTTCTCGAACACGCCTTGGTCTCGAAGCACATTTTTCCCCTCGTCAATCTCATTCTCGATGCTTCTCCTTCTCTCTCCCTCCTTCTAGCACATTTCTTCTTGATTTCTCTCCCGCTTCTCACGCCGTAGCCTCTATTCCCCACCGTAGGCCGATTTCCACCGTTTCACACACGCGCTTCCATTTCGCCGTCATTCCGCCGTCGTAGATGCTTTCGCCTTAGGTTCCGTGGTTGGGCGAACCAACCCTAACAGGAGTGAGGGAGGCACCTCCTTCGAGTGGGTGGCCACGTGATTCTTCAACCTCTGTCGTATAGGAAACGCCTTTCCACACTCGTCACAGGCGTAGAGCTTCTCATTCCCCCCCTGCCTCTCCTCGTTCTTCTTCATTTCTCCTTTTTTCTCCCCCCTCTCGTTCTCCCCCATTGTCACAATGCAAACATCCTTCTCCTCCTCATCCACCTGCTCATCCACCTCATCCTCCACCTCATCCTCCACCTCATCCTCATTTTCCTCGTCGCCGTCGACGTCCTCCTCTTCATCCTCTCCCACCCACTCCACCGTGCCCCCATCCCCATCCCCATCCCCATCCCCATCCCCATCCCCATCCCCATCCCAATCCTCATCCACATCCCAATTCCGCTGCGCCAGACGAGGCGGAAGCCGCCGGGGGTAGCGCCGCAAATACGACGGTGCGCCATCCAGTAGACTCGCCGATACTCGCCCCGAAGTCACGCCGATGCCCCTCGAGTCTTGAGGCGCCCTCATATTTATTTTCAAGCGTAAAGCACCGTCCCTATCCATCACAAGATCATTCCGCGTCGCATTCGATTTTCGTTGCAATGATGATCCCATCCCTCTCTCTAGCGCGCTACAGGTCCTTCATCTACTCCCAGGGTAACCTTCGAGCCAACTCGTGAAAGTTAACTTATGAACTCGAATCACGAGTCACTTTTTACTACCGTTCTTTATTCGACTCAAGCCGATTTAGACGTGAAGTGAAACTATTCCCCGACAGCGCAGTGCGCAACCGTTGACATCACAACCGCGCAGCCTGCTCGCCTTTACGCTCTATACCGGGTGACAACAGAGAGCTTTTGGACGTCCTCGCCTCGACGTTCTATACCGGTTCCACCGTGTGGTTTACTCGGCGTACTCGACCTACTTGATTGACCTATTCGCTATGTGAAGATACAAGGTGACTGTAACAAGACGAAGGCGATCTTGCCTCCCTCGATTTCGCCAGCTCAGCTCCTTGTGATCCGAACCAGAATTCGGAACACGCCCTAAGTACATTTCGGGAATTCAATGTTGGAATCCAACATTGAATTGTGCGGCTCGTAATTCTCAGTTTCCAACCTTGGGAACAATTCCAGAGAGCACGCTAGTGCTGGACACAACACGGCAGAGAACTCCAACAGCGCAGCAAAGCAATTGACAGCACAAGCAAGCATAGCTTCCTACAGCTATGGCTACTTCCAACGGTGCTCATGATCATCATTATCTACTACAGTGTGGACGACAACAAGACAAATAGTCTCTGCCCATGTGTTTAGTGAATTCCTAGGCTATGCTTATTGGTTCTAGGATATGACAACAAGGCTAGTATCTCTTGTAAATAATCATAGTGACTATGCCTTACTGTTGTTAGCTCTAGGAATAATAATGGCGACCTGAGCGACCAGCTCGAGGCGCCCATGCTAGTATCCTAGTATATTAGGATGCATCTCTGAAATGTATGCCATCATATGATCTCTTGTAAAGCTATCTTACTACTTTCATCCTGAAATTCTCCTAAGAACGCTTCCTACTACTACTACTACTCTGCCAAAACAGCTTAGTGGCTGTTTCATTTGGTATCCGAGATATCTTCGACCCTCCTTTTCTTGAGAACAGCGTCATGACGACTAGTAAGGTACCTTCTCGTGATGAATGGGCCAGCTACTTGGAAACGTACCGAGCCCAACTTGTTGCTGAAGTTAGAGAGAGCTTGCAAGCAGAGATGCAAGCTAGTGTAGCTGCAGCTGGAGTGGCGGCAGCAACCTCCAGCCCTGCTGCACCGCCAGACGGAAATCAGCGCGCTAGACCCGCTCTTCCTGAATTTTTCTTTCCCGGGAGAAACCAACCTCTCGTGAGCCGTTGGCTATTTCTTGTTGAGCAATACCTGCTCCTTAGTCACATAGTTTCTGCCGAGTGGACTACTTTCACTGGCACCCTTCTTCGTGGATCTGCTATCACCTGGTGGCAATCCGTGCATGCGACCATCCAGTCATGGGATCAATTCAAGCAAGTCTTCACTGCTACCTTTCAACCGGTGAACCCGAACATCCGAGCACGAGACTCCTTGGCTACTCTGAAGCAGCTCAAATCTGTTCAAGAATACGCTTCCCGCTTCCGTGACATCGCTCAAGAGATCCCAGACCTTTCCGATGCTGAACGGATGGATCGTTTCAAGCGCGGGCTGAAAACGAACGTGCGCATGGAGGTCGAGCTGAGGGACTGCTCTACGCTCGAGGAAATGATACGCGTGGCTGAGCAGTATGATGCTGTCCATTACGCATACAATAAGCCTCGCTTTCCTCATAGCCCGTTCCTCCCGTTTGCTCCCTCCTACCAGCCCTCTACTCCAACGGACTCAAATCTGCAAGAACCTGCACCTATGGACCTGGACCTGATGGAGAAGAGGAAGAGGAACCCGAGGCCTGTCGTCGTATGCTACAAGTGCGGCAAGAAAGGGCACATCTGGAAAGTATGCCGCCAGCGCAACAATCTGCCCCCCATCCTTCCAACGCCGGGAAACTCAAGCCGCCAGTAAACTCGGGGCAACTTTCTGGTGACTATACCTGCCCCACTATCTCTTCTCTTGAAAGCCGTAACCCCTCTGAACCCCTTCTCCTTTCTATGCTGATTCGCAGTCAGAAAGTGAAAGCCCTACTTGACAGTGGTGCTTCCTCTAGCTTCATCTCCTCCTCTCTACTCTCCAAGCTTTCCCTCCCAACTCAAACTGATTCCCTACCTCAAACAGTGTTGATGGCGAACGGAACCTCGATCTCATGCGGACGAGTACCATTTCCTGTTTCATGCACCATTGGACCTTACAGAGACAAAATTCAGTTTCAGCAAGCATCTCTTGGAGACCATGAAGTGATTCTTGGACGTGACTGGCTTTCCTTTAAAAACCCCAAGATTGATTGGACCCTTGGAACCGTCACCATCTCTCACTCTGGAAGAGACATCTCCTTACCTACCTTCTCCTCCTCCTCCTCCTCCTCTACTCCCACTTGTTGCAACCTCCTCTCAAAACGGCAACTAAAAAAATCGCTCAAGGACCCAAGCTCTCAATTCTTCCTCTGTTTTTTGAATCAAATTTCAGAAACTCCTATTCTCCGTTCCCCTCCCAAGGCTGCTGAAATCCCTTCTGAAATTCAACAGGTTGTCAATGAGTTCAAAG